TCGGCTGGGGCCCCCTCCGGAGAGGGGCGCTGGGAGGTTGCTGGAAGGATTCGGGGGAGCAGAGGGAAGGAGGGAGGGGAGGCGCCGAGGAGGAGGGTGCAGGGGTGGGTCTGCGCAGCGTGCGGTGCCTGAGGGAGGTGCCCCAAGCTCTGTTAGCCACCTCCGCGGGCACGCTGGAGGCCTGGCCCGGAGACTTGCGGGTGCTCGGTGCCCCTAGTAAGCCACAAATGCCTGCAGCCATGGGTTTTCACCCCGTAGAGTGAGAGCACTTCTAGGAAAGTATTGTGCTGATCAGGCTTTGGAGCACTGAAAGTATCCAGGCTGCCCCTAAGGGCGTGCTGTTTGTAAGCCTTACTGTTTGTTGTCGCCTTATTTTGCGTTTGCTTAGAAATGAATTACTTCAAAGTGGAAACCCACACAAGTTCCTCTCTCTGTTTTTTTGTAGAAAGCTTACAGAAAGGTGAGGTGTACTGTTGTGTGAACCCTGAAGTTGAAAGAGACTTGCAAAATGGAGAATAAATTTACTATTCTAAGGCAATGGGCATGAACTATTTTTATCTAGTTGAGGGCGAGCTATGGACTAGGAATTTGAAGAGCAAAAGCGGATGAAAATAGTTCACTAGATGCCAAAACCTGATAGCAAAGGCATCTAGAAATGCACTACCTATTTCCTTAAAGTTTTTCAGTTTAATAACCGAGTCAATAATGGAAGTCAAGAGAGTTTCTCTGACATGTGGTCTGCATTAAGACAAAATTTGGAAAATGTTCATTGGAAAATATTGGAAGAATGAAGGGGGAAACACTGAATGTTAAGTTGTTCCTTTTTTTTTTAGGTTGAAACAAGAGAAGATGAGGAACAAAACATCAAGTTGACAGAAATTTTGGAACTGTTGGTGGCTGCTGGGTATTTTCGAGCAAGAATCAAAGGGTTGTCACCCTTTGACAAGGTGAGACCAATACAGTATTCTTAACCTGTTTTCAGTATATGTGTCTGAAATACTCTTCTAAGTTAGCCTAGCAGTTCTAGGTAGCAAAAAGGGATGTTTGCAGCACATGAAGCTTTTTTAGGTAAATAATTCTGCAAAAAAGCTTCTTTCAGACAGGTGGGACCTCCTCAGTCTTGCAACACATTTTTGTGTTTTTGTGCCATTAGGCCTGCTTTAACAGAAACAATTAGATGCAAAGCTGGTTGCTGTTGTAGTTGTTCTGGGTATTATGGCATTTATCAGTGTGTTATATTGGGAAGTCTGCCCCCCTCTCTCTCAGCTGTAATTGGAATAGTTAAAAGACTTAATATTTGGAGATAGCATGCTGATTTTTTAAAGACATATTTATTCTAAATAACGAGAAACAAGGAAAGATTTATCTTGGGAGGCTCTCTGAACCAAGGGAACAAATAGCCCAGTGTGATTGTTTTTTAGGCTCTTGCTTCAAATCTTTAGAATGTCTTGTATATTAACCTTTCATTATCCTAGACAGGAAGTGTATGATACTGTTTGTGAGCAGAGTTCAGGCTGCAAGAGGTTTCTTCCTTGTTTTAGTGCTGACTGTATGAGAAATTTCTGGACCAAACTTTGAAACATTGAAGTATGACAGAGTCTTTGAAATGGGCTTTTCTGTCTTCTGCTGTTTCCTTGTCATAACACAGCCCTTCTTTGCAATACAGTCTTAGTTTCTTAAAACTGTGTGGCGTTACTGACCGTAAGTGTTCAGGAGGCTTTGCACGCAGACAAAAAGTAATTTCAAGGAGACTACCTCAGCATGCAGTGTTATTGCATTTATTTGTGGAAACAGGTGCATCAGGTTTATACTTGGCTAAATATGATTTTGTATGACAATGCCCAGTCGTTAGAAGAACGAGCGTTCCTATTGAAAATGAGTTAGCTGCTAAAGTAAAAGGGACACTGATTAACCTTATTAGATGGGACTGTGAAAGAGATACGGATGTTAGAAAACCTTGTATAGAACACCTGAACTTGTTGTGTGATATTTGTAAGTCACTCCATGCTTTGAAACCCTTTTTTTCCTGTTTTGTTCACTGTCTTTACACATATTTAGTTTGTATGTTGCATGTGCTTGTGCGCTGTTGTCTTTAAATACTCAAGTAATCTCTATGAAATTGATGAGATGATTCAGGAGCTTAAATATGGTGAAGTGTCTCTTGGAATAGGCCCTGACATGGAGAGTTTTAGAGCTGGGGGTTTCCATTACTGTGTTTGTACAGTGCCTAGCACTTCATGTTGCAAATAACAGCCTGCAAAGAATAATAGACGTTAGAGTGTTGTTAAATATATGAGGGCAAAAATTATCTTTGGTAAAACTTTCATTTGGACAGTTTTTAAAGATTGTGATGCCTATATTGCCCTGTTTTATCTTTTCACTTTTGTTTTGAATTTGAGAGCTTCATTTCAAAACCATGATATAATGCTAAGAGGGTAATTTAGAACATCATTAACTATTCTGTTTTGTTTTTGGTTTTTGTGTTTGTTTTTTTTTTTCTTCACTCTTCCTAAAGAGGTATATTGTATATGTATATTCTATGTGGAAGTTGATCTAGCTAGATATATATACACACAGGTGCGCGCTGAAGATAGAGAAACTATTAAATATATATTCTAAAATGAATAACACCTTTGAGACATGCTTGTTTTTACCTCTTCAGCTTTAAAATGGAACTAATCATTCTCTTGCTCCTTTGCTAGGTGGTAGGTGGCATGACATGGTGTATCACTACTTGCAGCTTTGATATCGATGTTGATTTATTGTTTCAGGAAAACTCTACTATTGGTCAAAAAATGTAAGTTGTTGAAGTAACAAATGTGATTTTATTTTTTTTTTAGTCTTGTTTGAAAGGAAGGAGGAGTGGGGGGGAGTTACCTGATATTGTTTATATAAAAGAAGGATTTTTTGGAAGAAGTGTCCTGGTTTTCAAGATCACCCATTTGTCACACATGACAGTGATTTCTTGATTTCTCACATTGTAGTTCCATGAACAGTAAAACCAGAAAGAAGCTTATTCCAAAAAAGGTAGTGCTATCTCCTTCTGGGCTACCCAGTTTTTATGTCCCTGCTCTGCAGTGAAAGCATCTATGTGGCTGCACAGCTAGCTGGATTGGGAACTGATCCAGGCTAAAACCTACCAAAAAAAAAAGGAAAATAGTTTTAACATGAATCAATTACTGGATCCAGTTCTCTGTGCAGCTGCACAGATGCTTGTGCTGGCACAAGGTGATGATGCAGAGGCCAAAACAAAGGGCAGAGGGAAACCACGCTGCTGGAAACTGGGAATGCGGCATTGACCTTCCTTGAGTTCGCTGCGGCTGCAGTTTCCACTGTGTAAAATAACTTCTGTTGGTGTCTGTGGGTTTTCTCCCCCCCCCTGCCTTTTTGGTTACAGGTTGAAACCGTTGGCCTTGGCAAATACAACCTAAAGCATGACATTGTGGTCTAAAAGTTATCTGCCCCAAACTGGGGGGAGAGAATTTTTTCATGTAAATATACTATGTATATAGCTTTTCAGTATAATAGGTATTTAGACTTTCTAAAGCTTCGGTAGTAATGTCAACAGATATTTTGGAGGTTCTGTTAAGCAAACTTTAAGTCTTTAGATTTGGATTGATCTTTGAGTCTGCATATTTTACTTTAGAATAACTATACTTAAAGCTAGTGCTTTTCATATGTGCACGTGTTCTATCTACAAAAACCTTTGCATATTATACCACGCATGAGCATTTTATCTGAACAGGCATGCAGATCTTAAAATTCGATGTGTAATACTGTAAATGCAATAACAAGCTATAAACCTGTAAGTGGGGTTTAATGATCTTTTTATAGATTGATAATATATACAGTATGAAGTAAAAGCTATTCTGTATGTGAAAGCTTGATTGCTTTTCACAGCTGTATACAGTTTAAGCTACTAGAGGGGACTTCCTAACTACTAATTGTGTTTGCAAAAATAATTTGACATTTATAAAAGAAGATTACAACATAGATGAACGTGAGCTTTTTTTTTTTTTTTTAAATAGTGCCTTAACTGAAAAAATTGTATCAGTATTACCAAAAATGAAGTGTCCTCATCGTTTGGAACCACATCAGATTCAGGGATTGGATTTCATTCATATATTTCCTGTTATACAGGTAATAATTTTGCTATTTATCAACACTTTGCTGAATGAAGGCTATAAAATATATATACAACACTTAACAAAGATCTGTGTTATTTTTTGGCTCTTTATTTGATTGTGGAGTGAATAATCAGAGAGAAGTACGTTTTAAAAAAAAACTTATTTTAGAGTGTTATAGATGATAGAATTCTTAAGCATTGTTTAAGAAAAACATAAACTCGAAATTATTTGCAGCTGAGTCAGAGTCTGCCTCTTGTGGAATTTTTCTGCTTAAGGAAACTAAAGTTTAAGCTTGTTCTGGAATAATCTACTTTACCAGACTAGGAAACACAGCAAATATCTTGCAGTCTGTGTTTAAGTTCAGGGAATAAGTTGCAGATAGTTGCTCAAACAAGAGGATATGGATAAGATTGAAGCTAGCTGGATTTGCTTCTTTAAGCGTCATTAAACACTTCTTTTTATTCTTCGTTCATATCACTCGAAGAAGGCATGAATGGGAAAACAAAGTTATTTCTCTAACCTGTGATCTGGTTACAGTGTATTTGCTGAGCAACACTAGCCATATGCATGCTCATAATCCTTTTTATTAAGGTTTAAGCTAATACATGTGATGTGGTCAGCTGATGTGTGGTATCTTTTCGAATGTATTTAAATGTTGGTGTGCTGTTAACTTTTTTCAAATTTCAGTTTCATCTGCACATGAAAACCCATTCCTGATAAGTAGGGAAAATGAACACAGTTCAGCAAATTTCTCTAAATATCTCCCTATCCCTTCCGTGTGAAAGAGTTTAGCAAGTAAGAGTTTGATCTAAATGCCATTTTGTAAGAATCGGGGAAAACTTCCTGTTTTCTCCTTCTTGTTATCTGGTAGTGGGAGGCTCCTGCGGAAAACCACCCTTAACTGCCTTCCCCATAAAAAGTGCTGTGTGCTACTGTTATCAATACGTTTCTCAAGCTGTGCTCATGCTGCCTAGCATGAAAAGTTATATGTGTTGTCAATGTGAGTTTTTACTTCTAGGTTTCTATTTTTCCAGCAACCCCTCTCCCCGCCTCTGCTGTCATCTGTTGCCTCAGTCACTTTAAAGTGTTAATAAATGGTTTTGTTTATCAAATATAAGATTTATCGCAGATGCATGGAAAGTAATTCCTCTCCTAAAAGGAGAATATAAACCATTACTCCTGCTGTAAAAAGTGTAGCACCAGGTATTCTTTTCTCTGACCTTCTTTTTCCAAAATGCTGAGTTGGGATATTACTTCAACAAAGAAGAAACGTTAATCCTAAGCAGGGTGGAAAATCGGCTCCTAGATTCCTCTGAGAGCAGTGACTCTCAATATTAGTAGCTGACCAGTAGGTGGTATATTTAATCCATATTTGATGAAGAAAGCTTTCTTGATGTGCTTAAGATTTTTTTTATATGTGAAAGATCTGACAGAAAACCACTTTACTTTTTTTTTAAAAGAAGTCCCTGTGAGGTTCAGGCTACTCCAGATGCTGTTTTCCTCATTTCCTCCCAGTAAAGATAGACTTACAGGAAAGCTTTAGTTCTGTTGGTGTATCAGTCAACAGTAGACTGTCTTCTGTAAGATCATGTAAGAGCTATAGTAGGCTGACCACACCCCGTCATTTAGGAATTGCATATTTAATAATGACGCTTTACCCAATGTCACGTCAAATTCAAGATTTCACTGTTTCTATTGATCTTAAATCATTCCCCAAATAATATAGGAGCTCTTTCCTCTGTCCTGCCATGTCTCCAAATAGTGCTGTGTGTGCTAATCCAGTGAACTTGATGGCAGGAATTTAGCTGCAGATTCCTTACTGGTCTGAATTACACTGAGCTGGTTGACTGCCATGTAGTGTGGTAGAACAGAAAAAAGTACAACTAAATGAGATCCAAATGGGAACCCAGTGAGCAGAAATGGTGCTGTTCTTCCTAATATAAACCCTACTTGTGTCTGCAAAGAAAAGGACCTATGTAATCTTGTGTTGGGAAGTGCTTTGGAATTAATAGCCACCGTTTTCAGCTCTCTTGTTTTCAGCTTATTCCCCTCACTTACCAGGGATTCATGGCTGCTGGCTCAAACTTGGATCCTCTGATTGATCCAGTCTCACATATTGACAGCATAGGCTATCAACAGCCCGCAAGGTTTATCTTCTCTAGAACTATTTAAAAATGTGCTTCACTCTCTTGTGGCTTTTTATGTGGTCTTATAAATGTCAGAAGAGATCGTACATGGGCATTTGGTTCTTGAACAGTTCATGGGCTTGAAGATACGGCTTTTTATGGTGGAGCTGCACTTCCTGAAAAAGAGAAGTGATCTATGGTAGGAAATCTATAGTATAGAAATGGAGAGAACCTAGCTATAATGGCTTCTACTTGGTGTGCAGCCAAGGTTAATGGGATACGGTCCCGTTCTCAGTGGCATCCTCTGTCAGAGTGCCATGCAGTAATGCTAAAAGATGGATTCTGTGTTGGATCTTGGCACTGAGGGCTCAGCACATGTTCCGTTCAAATTCTCAAATGCTCCAAGTTCCAGCAGAGTTCCAGCCCATCTGCCTGACTCGGACTGATAGAGATGGGTGCTGTGAACAGTTCGAGACTGCTTCATAGAAGGATGTCCATGCCATTGCCCACAGACTGTATAAAAGGCACCTGGACTATCCATTTATGGCTTCTTTGGAGTAAAGAGTGGTGTACCTCTGTACCTGCAGAGTATAGTTACATTCTTGTATACGTACTGTAGATTCCATACTTCTTGGGACTACGGGATTTATTGCATAATCAGTAGGACCTGCTCAGTAGAAAAACTGGTCACTAATGGCTTATAAGTACTGCAGCATTTTTAATTTTTTGACTATAGAGTAGGATGTGCGCTTTGCTGGCTGGTACAGCTGAGGTGTCTTGGTGTGGTGAGTTGCAAGCTGTACTGGCTGTTCTGTGGTAAAGGTCAGAAAATTGAGGAAAAATTGAAGTTCCACAGTTTAATGAACTACCATTGTGTATTACCGTATATTCTACGTTATTATAGCATATATTGCATGTTCAACATTTAACGAGTAGTAACAATGAATATGATAGGTAATACAGTAGTATTTAATCTGGTGAAATGTGTTTTGTTAAAACACTTTTGTCTTCAGCGGTAGTTTGCTTTTGCTAGGTTGCAGAGTTCATGTAGCTGTCAGGCTTTTGGAAAGGGCATTTAGTGTGGGGGGTTTTGGGTTTTTTTAATTTCTTTTTCTCCTTAAAGATGCAAGCTAAAAGAGAAATTTAATGTTTAAAGTGGCCCACATCCATTTCACAGATGCTTTTCATTTTCCTTTTTTAGAATGAACTTAGTGTGAGATACAAATATTTGGATTGCAAAAATCCATATTGGCAAAATTCCAATGAACTTTGCTTGTAGTTGTGATGATTTCGTGTGGTTTTTTGTTTATAAATCATTTTGTCAACTAAGTATTCCTACTAGGAGAAATTTGCGGTAGGATTTTAGCATATGCATTTTATTTTAGTGCTTACTGTAAGAAATTAGCCAGAATTTAAAAATTTAGTGTACGAAAAGATACAGCCCTAGCTAAATATAGGGGAAATCATGCATGAATGTGACTAATCCTACAATATATTCTTTACAAAAATATTTAGAAAAGCATTTTTTTGGGATACCTAAGAAGATCCATGCTTTGCTCCAAGGAGTTTATAAGACCAGGCAGTTTTCCTCATCTTTGGACTTTTGAATCTCAGTGTAGTGTGAACAGTATGATTCTCATTGACAATAGGATGAAGAATGTATAGATTTTTATAGGTAAAACTTTGATTATAAGGATAGTCATGTGGTTTCTTAGTTTATGCATTTTCTTGATATTTCTTAGTACATAGTTTTTTAGTGTGTGTGGGTGTATATATTTGCTACACTTAAAAAAAAATATATATATATATATGAAGGTAATGAAATAGCTAATGTTGAATCATTTTGTTAGGAGTATCCTGAGTTAGCATGCTCAAAAACAATGTTCTTGTTAGCATGCTTAAAATGTGCTTTTACATTTACATAATTATAACAAATAATTATATGACAGTTTAGGGATGGTATTTGCCGTTGTTGTTTTTCTTCCCCTTTCCAGTGATGCAAACTTTCTTTTTAGTGGCTGGTGAAACGTGCAATAGAAACTAGAGAAGAAATGGGAGACTACATCCGTTCTTACTCTATATCCCAGTTTCAAAAAACTCATAGACTACCAGAGGTAAGATCAAGCTAGTTCTTGTTTCTATTATATGTCAAATGGTCAGATGCAGCACCAGCTCCACAGCTACTGTAAATCATCGCAGATGCACTGGGGTTGCTGAGACTATGCTGATTTACATCAGGCTGTGTGTACTTTTTACTTTTTTTTTTATCATTTTGTTAATTGGGTCTTGCAGGAATCCAAATGTGACTTCATCTGAGGAAAAATAGAACAGTACTAAATTGAGGATCCAGCCACTTATTATTATGAGTGAGGGTTTATAGATATAGATTTCCTTTTGCTTTGTAGCTGCCTTTAGTTTTTTGGCAATATTTGGTACTGCTCCGTGCATGTGGCTTGCAAGGTACCAGGCTCCTGGAGTGGATATCGAGCTCTGTGCAGTGTATCCAGACTCATTGTGCGACTGGCACTACATTGCCTGGAATGGGTTTGGAAACAACCAGTGTGCTATGAAGAAGCTGTTCTAGCTAAAAGGGATGTGCTGAGAATTGGTATACCATTAATGCTGTGTCATCTGTGACTTACAACTTTTTAGAGTGCTGGAAGGCAACTCTTCTTTCCCTGGATCCAAACCCCAAATCTATTCTTGAAAGATAGACACTTAACAGACTTTATTCAAAAACTGAGCTTGTGGAAAGGCAGAGGAGGGTAGGTTTGGGTTGAAAGCAATTAGATCTGTCTCTTTCAAGTATGGTTGTCAGAGGTGTCAGAGCTGCTGTTTTATCTGGAAGCATAGTGGTAAGAGCAATTATGCACTGTTTGAGGCACCCTGGTCAGATTTCTTCTCTAGCTGATGATAGCCAAATGCTGACTACTTTGAGGTTATTTGCTTGAAGTGGTGATGTGATCCCCTCTCCTCCTGTTGAAACTCTTCCTATTCTGCAGTAATGATTTAAAGCTTCCTTGGCATAGAAGGAGAGCAGAAGTGAGTTTGGATTTGTGCCTGCAGTGGAGAGCCATCAGTTCTATTCATGCCTTTTAGCCAAAGGCCTTTTCATATTTAAAACCTAGAACGCAAATTTTGCTTCTAACTCAGTAACAGTGTTAAAGGTAGATCTCCTTAGTGCTGGGAACGACAGCAGGGTTTTGTTTGCTTGTGGGTTTTTTTTTTTCTTTTTGCTTTTAATGCCCTGAAGTTAAAACAAAGATAGAAGAAACTTTTTTTTTCCTCATGCTAAGCCCATCCCATTCATTATTTTTTATCTGCTGGAGTAACAATTAGAGATCCTCGTAGTGGACTGGGATTGCAATTGTTGGGTACTGTATAAGGAGACACGAGAAAGACTGCTGATCTGGATACAGTTTTAAAGACTTGCTTATCTGATGAATGAAAGAAATCACTGTTATTTAACTAAACAATTAATTGAGCAGCTCAGTTAGAAACTATTTGACAAGTTTGGTTGCTAAACTCCTTACCGTTGTTGAGATTTAATCTCTGTTCCTGGTAGTTTTAATCACCTTAAATGTCTTGCAGGATGATGAATTTATGCAAAGAAAAGAGAAGGCTATCAAAACTGTTACTGATATCTTTGTAAGTATAGTAGATTTTTTGTGATCATTTTTAACAATCAAAAAGTAAGTCCTTTTAATAATGAAACGGTGGTGGTGAATTCTATTCAATGCAGCCACCCCCAGGTTTTCTCGTGAGAAAGTTGCAATTACATGTAACGTGTTAAGCTCCTTTCTTAGAAAGGATTCGGATGCCAATGCTTCATACTGGAAACCTTTTAGGTGTACAGCCTACCACTAGATAAACCACATGATCTGCTTGTACAGGGAGTGCGTTATTCCATGCCATCAAATAAAAGTCATAAGATAACTCACAGCTATTAAACCTCTAGCAGACTAAGTGTTTGTTTGAAACTATAAGACACTGAACTGTGTTTATCTTCAAATTAATCAAAATGGCAATGATCTGCTGAGTTCAAATGACTGCATTTCAAAACTTGTTTTCAGTTTCACTACTTGTGAAAGCAATGAAAATAGGTCCGGTCAGGTGCCTTGTGCCAAGTCCCACAGTGCTTGATTGGGTTTCCTTACGTATCAGCTTGCCTGTTTTCTAGCTCAAAGAGAATGACATGGTAGAAGTGAAGCAGGTAGAGGTATGCTCGATCAGGTATTTCCCTTCTGGTGGAAGTCAGTGAAGTTGTTTTCACTTACCAAACTTTTTAGGGTTATTACTTTGAAATTCATAGGTCATGGTCCAGGAATCAGGTGTATATGTGTCTACTTCTGTAGTCAAGAGTTCTAAATTTAGGGTCCAGGAATGGAACAGGTTGTGGAAAGTAAAGAAAACGAGGTGCTATCTTGAAAGTCTGAGACCATCTTGCACCATTTGGCTAGCCTGTCTAGGTACTGCTGAATAGTGCCCCCGCTTTTGAGCGCACCAACTGCTCTCCCCAGCTTGGATTCGTTTGCAGATTTGGTGAAGGTGTGTTCTGTCTCTCTCTTCCTCCCGGTCACAGTTCTCTGGATTAGAGGTGCATCTTCATGGTAGATAAAGTTTTGTCACTTATTCATTCATCACTGCTTAGAGCATCATTAGACAAATGCCCCTTCATTAAATATTTGAGCTCTGTCAGGATTATAGCCTTTACTGCTGACACCTAATCTTCTTAATGGAAGATTAGACCGTAAGATCTCTTAAGGCATGAGTGCAATCTAGAGGAACACGTAGAATAATTTTTAAGGGAGAGAAGCTTCACAGGCTCTCCTTTATATCCCTAGGAAATGGAAAAAGGATGTAAGCTCGATTTACTCTTTTGCACGTTGCCTTCATATTGTTGTGCATTAGAATTAGAAGGGAGATCAACTTTCCTAAGAGAGGATCAGCAAGCGTGAAAGATCAGTCTGTTTTCCGAATTCATTTTTAGCACTCTAGTCTAAGGACCTGCCCTGCTCTTCTCAGGGGGAAAATGCAATGAGATTTATGGTCATGGTCAGGCCTGAAGGTTAGAAAAGAGAATATTAAATATCAAGGAATGGTGATTGGAATAAGAACTACTGCTGTTGAAAGGTGAATATGTAGTGAATTGAGATTTTTCCTGCAGTCGTTTTGTTTACCTGCTCAGTTATCTGATGACAAGACTAACGTTTATGGTAAGAGGTCTACGCCTTATATAGCACAGGTATAACAGGTATAGCTACAGAATAACGTTATAAAAGCTACAGTTGCTTTTATGACTTCCATTGTTTTTCTGTAGATGTAAAAGTACATGTTATGGGAAAATCCTGATCATAAAAAGCTTTTTCGTGTGGCGGGCAAAAGTGTAGCGCGATTTAATAGCTAGAAACGAAGACAAGACAAATTCAGATTAGAAATGAAGTAAAACCCAATAAGGATAACTAACAAATTCAGCGGAAACTTGTAAAGGAGTATGCTTTATTTTCACTTGTTTGAAATCTTTACTTTGGTATTACCTATCTTTGAAAAAGAGCGCTATTTCAGTAATGTTATGGTGCAGGAATTTCTGGTTGAAAATCAATTTATGTTGTGTGGAAAATCAGAGCAAGCAAAAAAAAAAAATCCTTTTTATTTTCTTTTAGCATCTTTGCAAATTTTTTTGCATTGAATCTTTTGTTCCATGTCAACACAAGCTTTCTTTTCAGCTTTTGTTTTTATAACGTATTTGTTTTAAGCGTTCTAAGCCTCAAACGTTGTGAGAGATATGAGTATTAAACTGACCAAAAAGGAGGGGAAGGTATGTTCTTTTTTGCTGTTGAGTTTTTGAGGATGATTAGCCCTTGTCACAGCAGAGGTAAAACTTAGAATTCCACTTTAATAAAGGAGAAGAGAGAACGTAATTTTAATTGATTTTTGGAGAGTTGACCTTTCTAAAAAACATGAACTGGAGTCATAACTTTATCTTTGAAATTGTAACTTCTTAGTAGTTTTTTCCAGTATCCTTGCTTGCAGGGTAGCACTAAATACTAGCCTTTAAGTAACGTCTTTAAAAAAATCTTTGGGTCAGCAAAAGAAATGTTGCCTTTTAGACTTGCTGCACCCTGATCTGTTGCCAAACAAACAAAAATAATGATTCCAATCAAAGTAAATTTTATCTTGGTTCCAGTTACTAATTTTAGGAGAGTTACAGATTCTTTAATCTTGTCTCTGCATGAGATGGAATAATTTTTCTGATTTTTGGTATAAAAACTATTATGCTGGTATTGTTTCTGCTATATGGAAGGAGTAAGAAGGCTACTTCAGTATAAGCCATATTTGTAGTGCTGTAACAGTTGTGTTGATGTTAATACTCTCACAGGATAGCAGCTCTGTCGTTTTTTTTTCTGTTTTTTAAACAAAAAATAGCTCTATCAGTACAAAATAATGAGTGCCTATGAACCCTTGTTTGGTTTGCTGGATTGTTGTCCAGCTAGGATCTCCTTGGGATAGTGTGATGACTTTAGTAGCAGACTTCTTCCTTAGATTTTATTTATTTGGTTGAGTATATTGACTTAGAAAACAACCAGTGGTATATCTCATTCTAAAAAACAAAATTCTTCATTTATTTTAGAAAAGTGTTGGGCAAGCTTTAAATTTATTCACTGCCTTACAGGAGATTTATAAACCCCAGAGAAAATATAAACGTCAGGAGGGAGCTGAAGAACTGCTAGACGAGGAATCAAAGGTTCATGCTACGCTTCTGGAATATGGCAGGTGAAAGGCTTCAGTCTGTATAAGTTATGAATGAGTTTTGTATTGTGTACCTTTAGAGGTATTTCAAATGAGACTTGTGTGTTTTTGTTTGTTTTGTTGCGATTTTTTTCCCTCCACGTTACTTGAGAACAGACTGTTTCAGATTTTGTTTACTTAGCCTGTAAATTCACTGGAAACCGGATAGTCCTTTTACGTAAGTGAACAATGTCTCGTACAATGGAAGCCCGTACCCTGACTTTGTCCTATGAGCTGTACTGCAGTACAGCTAGGAAGTGTTTATTGAAAGTGTTCGTTCTTTGCGCCATAAAAATGGCCTAAATCCATGATGCTTCTAGGTAGTCTAAGGTTCGCAACCTTGACTGTCAGTAAGTATTGCCTCTTTGCAAGCAGTCCTCCAGAAACTGGGGAGAAAAGGAACTGAAGCTGTTACTGGTTCTTTTTATAGTTCTAGTGTAGCTGTTAAATCAGGAGACTAAATTATGGTTTAGTGCTTTGTCTGCTTACCGTCTACAAGCTTCCAGTTAGATACAAAACTACTAAAGGTTTGCATATATCCGTTACCTCTGGTAGTCTCTCTGGTTTTCTGTGAGCTCTCCTAACGCAAAAAATAATTTAATAGAGTTCCTGTTTCAGCCTCTATTTCCCGTTTCCTTTTCTTAGCTTGGTGATACAGACAGTTTTTCTGCTAAGTTCTTAGTACTTAATCAGTATTAAATCACATTTTCATTCCTTTTTGAATCTGTTATGGCTTCTTCTCCCCAAAAGCTGCAGATTTTCTGTCTTGTTGTTATAGGTACGTTCCTCTTTTCCTTTTTGTCTCTTTCTCTTGACGTACAGTTTAAGTCAGCAAATGATCTGATTGCAGATTGCTTATAACCTTTTGTCCTTTCATTCAGGGTATTTGATGGCAGCGTGGACAAATTAATGTCTTTCAGCTTGTTTTCCTTTGAAGTGGGATGAAGCCCACAGTGTGTTTTTAGTGGAAAGAAACTAGTGGAAGATATTTGGATCTCTTGTTACTTAGCAGAGCCTGACTTTGTATAAGCTCTCTGTATAAATAACTAACCGTAGAACTCTTCCCATCCATCCGACATCAGTAGAGTCCTGTGCAGTTATGTGAAGTATTAGCAAGCTACTTTAAAAGCCCAAAATGGCCGGCTGCTCTAACAGATTTGTTTAATCTATTCAAAAAAACAAGGAAATATAGGACCTCTTCTGTATATATTAACTACTGATTTTATTAACAGAACTGACATTCATAATTTTTGTGGACTGTAATCTTGAATGACTCCTATTTGTCTAATACTCCTAAGGAGTTAGGCTTGATTTACCTGTCCGTCATCACTTTTTAGAGTCTGCTTCCTCCCTGAATGAAAACTGAATTTGCAAGTTGATGACATTGTCAGGGATTATTCTACCTGGCATGTGGATTTCTTCCCCTGCTCTTCACAGGAAGATGGCGCATGCAGAAATCCTTAGATTTAGATCAGCTCATTGGTGCCTGATCAGTGGTCACAATGGGAATCCAAAAGAGCTGGTATAGACATGCTGAAGTCTTGGTATACTCTGGGCTAGTTATCTGTTCTTGTAGTAAAGACACTGAAACGGTACATACTAGTGTTGATAGGCATATTTCCTGATAAACAAAAAGAACATGAAATACCTTATGGGATCTGAGGGAATTCTTGTGTATGATTTTTATAGGGTTATTTTAGTTTAAAAACAAAACCTGAAATCGGTGTATAGCTCGAAAGTTGAAATAAAAAGATGGTATTTCCATTTCCTGGATCATCACAAATTGTTTTAGCTTAGGTATTGTGGAACAGTTGAGACCCGAGTAGTTTTTGAGAGGGAAAAACTCCTTTCTGCTGGAAAAACAGATAAAACTTTAACATAAAAATGGATGAAAAATGAGTGATGGAGAAAGTTCAAGTACAGAGAGAGGAAATAAGAACAGAAAGGGAGGTGGCACTCAAGATGTGAGGGATCAGCTATTATAATGTATAGTGAATGTCAGCACATAGATGTGAGAAGTGGCTTGGGACTATCTTTCTGTTAAGAAAGACAATCAAGAACTTAGGAACTTTTGGGAAAGAAAAAGCCTCTTTAAGACAGTTTTTTGTTTGTGTGGGATTTTTTTTTTTTTTTTTTTAAGATGATCTTGATTTGGTATTGTACAGCCCTTGCAGAAAAACAGAGGGAGAAGAGACATTTGGTCTTTGAAGGGCATGGAGCATGACAGAATACTTATTGGACTGATTATTTAAATTGATAAGAAGGAAGGACAGTAGCTGTATCTGTCTTCTAATATGAAAAGTTAAGCTCAACGTACAAATTGAATGGAAGAGGGAGAAAATTAGGACAGTCACAGGATTTGATTGTATTCTAGTGATACTTTCACAATAAATTCCCGAAGTGTACAATTCTTGATCAGAAAACTGTTACTAATGTAATGCAAAAACAAAGAAGAACATCTGAGAAAATGACAGCAGTAAGACAAATAAATGTCCAGTTCATGTGTCTTGCTAGAGAAAGAAAATTTTGAGGAAGGCGATTGTATGTCTGCCTTGAACCTACTAAGGAATAACAAGAGGACAAGGACTTAGAGATGTGTACAGAAATCTGAGAGGGCAGTAGGGATGACTGTCTGCCTTTCAACACGTAGGGAAACTAGAGCACCGCTAAGAAGGCGGATAGTAGACTTTTGGCTGATATGTTTAGATAGAAAGTTGAATGCTTTTAAATTTCACATGGTTAGAGTGAACCTCTCATTCTTTCCTTACATGTAGGTGGTAGTCTTGAAATCATGTGAGTAGAGGTTTTTTTACTCCTAAATGCCCCCTCAGTTATCATAAAAATGACCTCTTTCAGAGGACACCAATAATAAAAGTTCCTTCTCTCAGTACAGTGAATAATAGAGGGTCTTGTCATGCCTTGATGTCAAATGCAGCCTTACACAGATACAGCCAGTGATATAGTGCTGTTTTCTGAATTGGTTTTGTTCCTGTGGCCTTCATTTTAAAGGCTATCACAAATGAGTGTGATGTGGTTAGCCAGAGTCTGTTCTGAGAGCTTAGTGATGTCGGTGAGCATCTTTCCATGTACTTGCATATCCTGTTTCAAGTAAGGGCGCTCTTTGCCTTGTCTTTGCATAATCTCAATCAGTTTTCAAACAAAGTACAAAGTCAGTTCTTCTAACATGTGAAGTGTTAGGCCTGGGATACATGTATGTTCTCTGTTGGTATAATTGATGCTCAAGTTTTTATTATTGCTGTTTTGGTGCAGTTCACTTCTTGGATGCAATTGTATGCGTGAAAATAACCTCATGCTCTTACAGAAAGCAGTAAAAGATGTACAAGAATGGCAGTACTACTATTAAATGCTTCTTTGCAAATACAGCTTTATGCGTATTCTTCATGGTGGTGATGCTCTGTCACGCTCCCCGTGTTGATAAGCTTTAAAAATGCAGGGAGATCTTACATGTTTGGGAATTCTTGAGAACTTGGAGTTATATTGTAATAAAACATGACTGGATTTATCCTGTAATTATGAATGTTGAATAAATGGAGAACTGGTGACAATTGATACGGTTGCTGAGGATCACGTCTAGCTTATAGCCATAAAAGGCCTTTAAGTAGTCATGCTTCTGCAGTAGATAAGCAATTAGTCTTCGCTGCAATTTAGTCAACCGGGAACATCAGTTCTCTTCATGTCTATGCGTATAGACATGGGTTTTGTGTTTCCTGATAATGAGGGTGCTTTCTTGCTCAGATTTAAAAATGCTTTCTGCCTGTCTTTTCTGTAGAATAATATTTCTAAACTAACAATGTAACTCAAATGTCAATTTTTTCCCCTCAAAAAAAGAAAAAACAAAATTTGCCTAAGTATATATTTAAAGCTCAGAAGCTTTAAGGCCACACTTCAGAAGGAATTGCAAGTTCATTGAACCACACAAGCATGAATGTTCTTCAGGAGCAGAGATTGCATTGACAATTTCTTAAGGCCTGTCCAGAATTCGAGGATTTATGCCTTATAGCTCAGGATCACTTTCTAAATGGAAAGAGAGCGTTGCTTTTTCCATCCGTTAACTTTACATGACGATGCTTTAGGAACAGTCTAGATTTGCGGACTGTACTGGATGGAGTAGATGGGCCTGACGTTATACTGTAAATATGCTACAGAACCTGCTTGTGTAGTTCACTTGAAGCATTCCATAACTAACGTGCGCCTGGCTCGCTTTTGTTAAATGGTGCACTTTTTAGTGGATTTCTTATGTTGAAAACTGATAGAAACTTCTTGTTGTGAAATCGAGAACACTGGAAACAGCGATACACTTGTCTGATGTTACTATTATTATTTTAGGAGATACGGATTTAGCAGACAAGCAGGAAAAACAGAACAGGTAAAAATACTATTATTGATTTTGTTTGTTTGTTTTTTAAATACTCAAATTGTGGGAAGACTTGTATTATTTTTCTTGGGAGTGTTGGTTACTGTAAGATCTTACAGCAATACAACAGAATATAAAGCTGTAACTTTTATTCTTACCATCCCTTAAAAAGGGCTAACTGGGACTAAAAATCTGTGTGCTGTGAAAGATGCTAATGATTACCAACTTTCTTTTTAAGTGATTTCCCTCACCTGCCAATAGCTATTAAAGTTTACATTCTATAAACATAGGTTGCTTAAATCAGAGGTTTGCTGATGGTAGTTTTTTAATGTGGGATAACCATATATCCTGTCTGCTTAATGACTATCTTTAGGTGTTCTAAGATGCATTTCTTAGAGGTTTTTTTTCTTTTGTTTTAAATAAACATTCAGCGAGATGAGAAAATTTGTGGGCATTTATTACATACCAGGTCATTTAATGTGATAGAGAAGCATGATACCATGCCATAAATAAATCATGGTGTGTCTCGAAAAGTAGTATTCTTGCCTGTGCTTTTGATGGTTATGGAATCATAAGCTATGCTAATTGGAGTATTTACAGTTTTATTATTTCAGTGCGGATATTACTTTGATTACAAGTTATTATAGATGGTGTTAATGAGGAAATACACTAAGCATATTATGGTCTTAACAGTACATTGAGTATATTGAGGTTGCCCTCTTTCTTTATCTCAATAATCCACATGTACATTTAACATGTAAATTATATAAATGGAGATTTTCCCAAATCTATGCCCACCTCTTTTTCCCTGAAAGTCACTTCCAGGCTGTTGTCTTGCCTCATATAGTTCATTTTGTTTCTTCACAAATTTTACTGACTTTGGAGTATGTATTAGACTGTCATGTTTATTGTGTGAATCGAGTCACCAGTATGGTAGAAGCAGAAGATTAAGTAGTCTGGTCAATGGTACAATAGAGTGACCTAGAAGTTGAGTCTGTCTTTTGTCCGTACTCATTATTTTGGTGGTAAGTATACTTCTGTCTGAACTAGGCAAACATTCTGAATGTCGTATGTTTGTTACACCGGTTGAATCATTTTTCATATCTTAATTTAACTTCTGTCAAAAATAGCAGCTTTCCCCTGTGTGTTAGATGTCAAGGCCAAACTTCTGGACTAGACAGTTGGCTTGTGAGGTTGTGGATCTCAGAAGGATGTAGAATAAAGGATCTTTGCCCCAGCTGTGTGCGTAGCAAGCCAGAGGCACTGTCTTGAACAACTGAGATATTTGTGAAGTCAGTAAGGGTTGCACCTCAGTTGGCATGAACTGAACTGTAGGATGTTCCAACGTTACCTGTGTCTATAAAGTATCTGTAAAAACAGAACGGTTACATTCCAGTTTTTTCCATGTTGTCTTTCTTGATGCTTCGGATCACTGGAGTTAGGTATAATGTTTTCTTAATTTCTTTTAAATAGGCTGAAGATAAAAAAATTGTGCTACCTCCAGGGCTTGCAGCAGCAGGAAAAGCTGAGGCTTGTGACGAAGATGACCTTCAGGCTGCTGAAGAGGTGTGCCGTGTGTGTATATGTAGCGGGCGTGGATGTCACTAACTGGGGGAGAGGAGCAGTAAGCATTGCAGAGTCATTCTCTGCAAGGAGGAAAACCTCAGTGCTTAACTGACATGGGAGTTCCTTCACACAGGCAAATATGGAAGCTGAAATGGAAGCACAAAATTAAATGTCTGTTGATATTTAATACCAAATAGTCAACTTTGTTTTGGAGTCTGAGTATTTTTAAGAGGTTAGTGCATGTGTTCTGGGTTGCTCTTGGTAGCTGACTACTCTGAATTAGCCTCTACTGTTACAAAGAACTTTCTTACGTTTGTAACTTTAGCCACCCCTTCTCTAATGTTTGTAGAACTACTGTCCCATTGCATGTGTTAAAATAATGCATAATCATGTTAAATGATAGTAGTTTTATATGTACGTCACTGTCAGTAAACAGAATATGTTGAAGTTACGTTCGCATCTTGCCCTAGCTTCGCATTAAAACTCTGATGACTGGAATGGCTGCAATGGCAACAGAAAAGGTAAGCAGCATTTAAAACTAATGTAGCTTTAATTATGGATGTGGGTATGTTTTAGCAATTGCAGTTCAGATTCATCGTCAGAGAGTTTCCCACTTTGTCAGGCCTCACCTGTCGTTAAGATGTCACACAAAGGCTAATACTGTTTTCCCAGTCAGAACTTTCATTCTTGCATTATAATGTTAGATGAGAGCAGTTAAACATGCTATTTACACCACTTACTTTAAAGCTGTCACTTAAAGTAATTATTATTAAAACTGGGTTAACTCTCTGAAGTTCTTTGAAAAAAATTTTGCATATATATTTTCATAAAGGGAATGCAAGAAAAAATGGTTGAATTAGGAAGACAGCACGTTTTACAGGGCTGCTAACTTAATCCTTCACCTTGAAATAGTAAAAATACTCTAAATAAATGCCTCTTTCAAATGGATTCTACAAGGAGAATTTCAGGGCAAAAACATCACCCAAGAAATAATACGGTATATATTTGATGATATCCAGAGAAATAATCCTCTTACTGGGGAGAGGAGAAGAAAAGTGTGTGCATTTCAAGCTTTTGCTTAAAAAAAATATATCTATATTTTCCATTCAGATTCTTAATTGGTTGTAGTATAACAATGATGTAGCGGAACTTTTAGGCTGCGCTTATTTTGGAAATTCTTACACTTGCGTTTTTTGGGTGAGGTTAGTTGGAAGAAATACAGCTGTTTGACATAAACAGAAATAACATGCTTCGGCTGCAAAAGAGAAAGCAATAAGTAGTCTAGTCTCAAAGTTGACTGGCGTTCTTTGTAGTGAAATCCATTGTAGAATTCAGTCTCCTTGCGTGGAAGGTTGCTTCTCTATGTGCCTCTCATTTTAAAAGTGCATTCTTTCAGGCTATCTACGTAGTCATAGTTTGACTCAAAATGTGGTCTAAAAGAGAGTTTTATTACTGTACCTGTAAAATTCAGTATGTGAAATACAATTTGATGTAAATACTTGAAAATCTGAATTCGGTTGACTGATGCTGTTTGCTCAAAGGTTAGAAATGAAGGAATTTCCATCAATGAAGTTTCCTTTGGGAAGTTTGTTGGGCTTTTCTGTGATTAGGGCTCTTAATGCAATGTAATTAAGGTTTTTGTTTCTGTTAAAATTAGAGCTTGGGGAAGTTGCTGTATAAAAACACAGGCTTTTCCAAAACTCAAGCACTTTTTGATTCAATTGCAGGGCAAGTTGACAGCAAGCACAGTAGGCCAGATTGTTGGACTCCAATCAGATGAGATCAAGCAAATAGTGTCAGAATATGCCGAAAAGGTAAGAGTGTTTCCTGGTTGTGCTTTACCAGGTCATGTTTGGTAGCTTACTAATTCAGCTTTCAAGCTTCCAAATTAACTGCAGAGGTTCTCCTAAAACAGCAGTCTGTGTCATAGTAGAAGACAGCAAAACCAGATTCAGGGAAGTATTTAAATCAGACTCAGACATGCGCAAGCTTTTAGGGTGAGAGCACATACTCCTAAACTGTGTTAATGTGTAAATACGGTATAAACACCTGCTTAAGTGTTTTCCTGAATAAGAGGCTGAGCTGATATTTTATTGGAACTAGAGGCCTAAATTCTTAATGCGTTTTTAGACGTTTAGTTTTAAGCACAGAAATACAGCTCGGTGGGCCTGCTCAGTGAAAAACTGGCCTAAGTCTTTTCAGGTACTGGGATCTTACTTGCACTTGGCTCCAATTACCAGTCACGTGCCAGATCTCTGGTTCCTAAGCTAGTATCATCGGAAAGCAAACCTTTGCTGCTTTTAGAAGTCAAGGCAATTAACTTTGTTTATTAGCTCCATTTATTGTGTTCAACTGTGATTATTTTTACAGTAATGTGAAAAGAAAATCTGGCTCCTCAGGCAATTAATCCGTATAATACATCACTGCCAGTTATGAGTTATAGGTCGCTGGTATTTGTCCAATAGTCTTCTCATATTTTTTCCTTTTTCTTGACACTTATGAGGTATGGAGCTTTCCCATTTGGGAGATAAACCCTATAACTCACAGTCTATAGCAAATTCTTGGCCTTTCTTTATTATAGTGGATTAGAAGAACAGAAGCCCATGGGTCATATTTCAATGTTACATTTCTTCTGTTCTGAGAGAAGGCAGCAGGACCTTGACTATTATAGTAGAACAGTGATTAATACTCTGGAAAGTAAGAACTGATTCAAGTCAAACCAAAAATATATCACTTTTAAAATCAAATCTACTGGTTGCGACCAAAAAAATAAATAAAAATCTTTGTGAGCACGTGTGCACCAGAAAAAGAAAATTAAGGATGTTATCAAACAGCTTATAGAAGCATCAACAGTGTTTGCATGTGGTTCCAACAGCTTTAACCCCTTGTAACTGTTCCTATTCTGATTAAAAAGCAGTGTTTATTTGTCTGTCAGGGCCTTAATCGGGACCTGATCCACGGGCCTGTTGCCAATGAAGACAGCTGGCAAATAAAATTCTAAATTTGGTGTTGCTGTATGCCAGGGCCGTTCTTGCAGGATAGTATTTTTGCTGAAGATCGGCACGTACAATTTTTTTGCGGGGTTTGTCCCGCTTTCTCCTGTTGTATGAACATACTGGGTAAACTGGAAGGGATGATTCTAAAAATTTTGGCAGAAAGCTGTTAGCATGGCTTTTATCTGCCTCTCCATCAACATCTTTCTGAGGCAATTTATTCAATGTAGCTTTGCTTTTAAAACTGTGTTTGAGGGATTCTTTCTCTGAGAATTTGTAGGGATCCCCTTATGTAACAGGAGGTTTTGCTTGCAGTAGAATAAGAGAAGCTTGTTCCCTGTTAAAATGAGAGAATGACTGAAACTAGATAAGTACTGTCTCAAAATTACTGCCTTTAAAAATGCGTGAAGGAGAATCCTCTTCAGCAGGTCTAAACGCTGTTTGCAAGTTGCTTATGTAATGAGAAGCTGACTCAGAGTATTTTTCAACTTCTGGAATCCTATGTTGGACATTATTATGTCCTCTATGCTTGGAATAGCATAGAATAAGCATTTCAGCAGTATCGTATGATTAAAATAAGTCATTGAAGGAAGACACTAAATTGCTATTTATTTGCTTACCAGAACCGTGAAAGGTAAGGCGAGATTCTGTCACTTACTCTTGAGTTCCTGAGCCGTGGGGAAACATCAAGAAAAAATGACTGCAAAATATTTTGAAATGATTGCTAAGGATCTACCTGGAGCTAGATTGAAAACAGAGTTGAGCTGTTACAGGGTTTGAGATTTTTTTTTTTGTTGTTTTTCCCTTTAGGCTTCAGACAGTGGACTTCAAATCGAGGCAACTATGATGAAGTTAGGAACTCCTATCTGTGTAGTAGTAGATGATTGTACCAGCAGGGATGCACAAAATTGGCTACAAAATTAGTTACTGCTACAAAGGTTGTTATTTCAGCACAGAGACTCAAATTTTTTTGGGGTGAAGTTATGCAAACTAATGATTCAATTCTGTTTCTTTTTACTCTTTAGAGAGTTCCTAGTAGTAATGTCTGAGAGAGAATCTCGTTACGAAGGGTGAAATTCATTGCATCTGTTTCCTGCTTCCTTCCCACTTCAAGCTTTTTTTTAATGTGAGCAGTGGGAGGCAGGCTCTTAGGGTCTGTAATTGGCCATTTAGTTTGGCTGCCAGTTTTCGAGTTGCAATAGTTTAGTGATCCCAATATATACAAGAAAACATAATTGATGTGGTGTTTTAACTTTCCAAATTCTGTCATACAAAATGAGGCTGCTAATACTTGTTTAACTTGTTTTATTTGAATTAGCTAAATCTTTTTAGGGCAGCTGAGCAGTTGCAGGAAATGGGAAAGAACGCAGAAGTGAGGCAGGTATAGGTATAACACAATTTAACAGAAAAAGTAAAGGATATGTCCTGTATCCCTTGCTGCCTCTGTAATTGAACTACTTTTATTGAGGTAGTGCAGCAAACTGATAATCTTGAGCAGTCTGAGACACTAGTACTTAGTAGACTCGCTCAGATACAGCTTTCTTAACAGTGTTCAGGAGGCAACTACTCATTCAGGCTAGTGAGAGACCCAGAAATAACGAGGGATTTTTGCTGTTAGGTAAGTGTTAGTGGCTGTTGGTGATAAAGGCAGGGGATACTGGCTGGGACATGACTATCTGTGGGGAAAAGAAGTAACTTTCAGGTAATTTGTTGGAGTAAAGTCACAGATGAGAAAAGAAAAATGAAATGTGCGTGTAGAAAACCCAGGTGAATTTTCATTCAAGGGTAATCTGTATTCAAGAGTAATTCAGTGTTTCTCACAATGCAAATATTATCAAGTACTAATGCGTGTATTAATCCTGTCTTCCCTTTGCCTTTTGATGTCATGCATTCCAAGACCCCATCCTTCTTTCCTTTGCATGATTAGCTGAACTATTATGCATAACATGCAAGTCAAGAAAACTGGAAATGCAAGAGAAAGTCACATCAATTAAAAGAGCCCGAGACTGATCATGTAAAAATAAGAATGCATACAGTTCAGCCTTGGCAATAAGTAGCTCAAGAATTTCATTGAGCTTTCTACTTAAAGTCCGCAAAGCCTGACTCTCACTCTGTCAGAATACGTTGACTGAATATATTGACCTCAGTGATTACACTCTTGGTGGAAGCTGGAAGAGAAGCAGAAGCCTGTCGTGTTAATGAAATATTTACATTCCCTTAGGCAGAAGAACTTCCCTCAAAACTTTATTTCTAATGGGAAACTTCTCATGCAAGCAAATACAGAAGGGAAACACTCTTCTCTCATTCTACTTCCTATGTACCCCCAGGAGAATTCAGCCTGAATCAGCTCTTTTGTGGAGTCAGCTCTTTCATGGGTGTTTCACATAAATGACCAGAAATAAGATGGGAAAGTATGTGAGATCCCATGAATCATCCTCTTACATTCCCAAAGGAAACAAATTAGTGTAGTCTACATTGACTTACTCTAGCATCCACTCTCACTTTTAGTCTCTCCCTGTCCCCAACTCTCACAGCTTACGGTCACTCTGTAACCGCACACACCCTTTTCTGTGTTCTCCTCTCTCCCCTCAAAAAGCCACCCCCATCCAACAGCTATGGAACTGGCCAGCCACAGACTTATTCTTAAAGATTTGCAGAGTGGCAACCTTTTTAAGTCTCCTGTAAATACAGTAAATCATTGCTCCCCAACTCCACCTTAATACAGAAGAATCCAAAACACATTTGACCACTTTACAAATTCTTTGATCTTCAAATGTTTCCTCAAAATAGGCTGCTTTTTCCATTCTTTGCCTTTAAGAAGTAACTGCCTAAACTGAAAATGAGAATGAGTAAGAAAATCTCGATAAGCTGTTCTTAATAATTTTGCTTTAATTACACTGTTAGCAGTCCTAGTTAGTCTAGTTCAAACACTACAATGAAAGAGGACAATAATGACTGACGTGCACAAATCAAACTGGCTTTTGTTCTGACTAAGCACTGGCAACGTGCAACAGAAGATTATTGCAAGCAGCAACTTATACTTATCACACTTGTGATTACATTTACGAAACTTATGATTTAAAACCAATTAAATCAAAATACAATACATAAAATATCAATTTTTATACTTAAGTATTTTTTATATGTTTTAAATATCAAAAAACATCTAATCCCTAAAGCTCTCTTGGCTGGCAAGTACTGTTAGAAGATTTTTTGCTCTCTCTACAAACAATAAACTTCCTGCTTTTTAAGGCAAATTTAGAATTTCTTTCTTACTATCTTCACTGTCCAACATTCTTTTGCTCTTGATTATGCAATACATCCACAGTTCACTCAGCTGCTCTTCCAGTTCTACTTTGGTTCTTGTCCTCTAAACTGTGGAAAAAAATGGCAGTCTTTTCTGGCTTGATCCTTAAAAATGAAGAGCGTTAAGTACTACTGATCTAATTTAGTAGTTACTTTGAAAGTTACGTTCATAGTTCACTTGCAGAGTGAAATGAGAACACAGTATTTTAAGATTTTCTCTTTTATGAACATAAACTTTTAAATGGGCACTATTAAAGCATACCTGCTTTAAGAGCATTGCTAAAAGGATATTTAGCAGTGAGAGAAATGAGTAAATCTGAGTAGGTATTTGTTCAATAATTCAGTGTTACAGCTGTTGTTTAGAGGCATTTTTCCTTTCTTAACAAATAGAAAGGAAGTCTAAGATGTCAGAATTAGCCTTTTCTTGCTGTAAGCGTAAAAGGGTAACAAGGCATTAAGCTGCTTTTCAGCATGAATAACATAAAATGAAGAAAAGTAAGAGAAGAGTTTTTACCTCATATTTTCATTTAAAGTGAAGCTGTTAATGAAGCTGCTTTCCCACCTGTCTAGGAAGGATACCAGAAGCAAATACCTGTGTGGAGTATTTCATACTTTTTGTAACGTTTTGCTGATTATACGTTGTAGTGGTTGTCAACATCTGGTGATCGTTCAAAACGCACTCGGTATTGGAGTATTTGACAGGCTCAGCAAATTAGTGCCTGAAATAGCTGAAAATTAACTGTTTTGCTAATGAAATATTGGAAAAGAGATAAATTAGAAAAATCTGAGTGAATAAAGCAAATTACCAAAACAGATGGATGTAAATATTAGTGAGGACTTTCAAAAGGTACAAATAATATTTAGACAAATAATCAGTTAGGTAAGTAGCTATCACTGATTTTTAATTAGTCTTTAGTCTGTTGCAAATGCACAATTTTTATTATAAATGTTATCCCTGGTAAGGAATATTTCTGGCATCCGTCCCTTTAAAATTCAGAGATAAGAGCTGCATCCAGGTTGCTGTCTTCATTACATATTTAAATGACACTTTCTTGGCAGTGCATCCTCCACTGAGCAGTTTTCAAAGACTGGTGCCTGTAGCAAATAAAAACAAATAAGATGTGGAGAGGTACAAGTAATTATGACACTGAGTACATCATTGAGCATAGAGAATGGATCCAAGCCGGTATTGCAGAATCTAAACGCCCTGTTGTTCACGTTTTTTAGTAGTTCTGAATCTAAATATTGGGGTACGAAGCATCTCCGATCCAACAAATTCAGTAAATACCACTTACACTGGAAAACTGTCTCACTACTTAAGGTGTTTTTTAGCACACTTGTATTTCTTCCATTTAGGAACCCTGCCAGGCTTAATTGTAATACTGTTGTTTTGTTGTTGTTTTTGTTTACTGTCATATCTCTAACCTCACTTTACTTTTAACTTACTTAAAATAAGCAGTGACAGGCACGCCATCTGGTACCTCTGGGGTGCAGTTCAGTTGGTTACCTCCTTCCTGACCTTGATTCAAGTCTATAGGTAGATAAATCTGTTTCTCTGTTAAGCCACTCTTTGTACTGGATGGTGTGACACAGTTCTGGATGAGCAGTATCACAGATCTGTCCCAGTCTGGCTTTTTTGAGTTTCTGTAGAAGAAAAAAGTAATGGCATGAGGTTCAACAAGCTCTTGTTGCTGTTTATTTCAGCAGTCTGAGCTTTCCGCTGAGGAGCGACCAGAAAGACTTGGAGCTGCTCAACAACACAGAAGGAAAGTAGCATCTCTGAATAAGCAGATTTTGCAGAAAACAAAACTCCTGGAAGAAGTAAGTACTGTGTGCGTAACAAAAAGAAAACATTGATAAATGTGGTTAATCGTAAAGTTCTTGCCGTCCAGAAAAGACTTGCAAACTGTCTCTTATATCAGCAGTTTGTCACGCTGAATGTTAATTTCAGCATCTCCGAATGTCTTGTTTGCGCATTTATTACCAAGACAATGCGACTGTTTTTATGTTCAGGAATTGGATAGCTCTGTGAACACAGGATTAGCTGATCAAAAGATGCTTTTTGTTGTTGTTGTTTGTTGCATACCTCTTCTAGAGATGTTTCCTGTGTTTTTCTCTATTTTACTTGTTAGGTATAGTGTTGAAATTGTGAAAGCAAGTCCATTGAAGAAACAATTTAAGAAGTTATTCTAAAATATGTTACAAATGGATTTTTAGCCCTTGCCTGTGCTTCTGTATGTTTGACTAAAAGCCAGCTGCAGATTTGCGCACTGAGCTCCTTTTTTTTTGTTTATTTTATTTTGAAGTTGTTCACTGCATCTTTTGATGTGACTTCAAAAAAAAAAAAAAAAAAGCAAACATTTGTTTTAGGGAGAAAATGCTCTTGAACTTGTGACTAGTGTTGTGTTCATATCTGTAAGAGTAAGAATCACTATTTTCATATTTTAACCTATTTATGCTATTGCCGTTTTAATGCAAAAAAGTATAAGTGGAAAAAAATTGTCATTAAGGAAATGCTGCAAGGAAATGCTGCTTTTAACTATGCACATTGTTGTAACCAGTCATGCGATTTCTAAGCTTGCAGAATCTGATGAAAACATACTGTGTCAGTGTCAGTAATTGGAAGAGCTTACCAGAAAACAAATAGTACTGAAGGAAAATTGTTGCTGATGACTTCTATGGTTGATACTCTGTCAAGTACAACACCTCACCATCAGCCTTCATCTACTTCAATTTCCTTTTTTTCTTTTTTTCTTTTTTTAACTATCATTGTCAGTAAGACAGACCTTACATCTTAACTCTTTGTACCCATTAAACATCAATGGTACAGGGATTTTGAAAGATAGACTTGTGTGGTGTATCTCACAAGACAGTGATGTGTCCGGTCTTAAACAACAGAGGTAAAGGAATGATAGCTTTGAAATATTTACCTGCTATGAAATAACTATGGGAGCACTAGCTTTTAATCCCTACTGCCTAGCCACTTACTGGACTTGATTTATATATTTTTCTTTTTTGTGAGAATAAAATAGTCTTTTCTTCTGGTCTATCTGTGCATCAGGGTGTTTTTTTTTTTTTTTTTCCTTGTAAGCTTTAAAGGAATAGATATCCTTTAAATAAATCTCCTTTCAGTAAAACGTACTATGACCCATTTTTCTAAGTCTCTGAACTAGCATTCAAGTAATACTAAATTTAAATAAAGCTATAGAAATAAAACTTCAGCACAGAAAACTGGAAAAACTAATTGCTTATTCTATTACTTGTTTCCTGTTTTTCAGCTCAAGTCACAATGTTTAAGAACTACCTGCACAAATTCTTCATTAATTTGTTTTTCACAAATTCTTTGGAAAAAAAATTAGACTCTTAAATGGTAGGCTACAACAAGTGTTTTTTAATGGTTAGATGTTTGAATATTTCTCCTTTGGAACATGTTGAACTGGATTAATTTTTCTTTCAAAGCTGATGCAGTTCCATTTCTGTATTGCCCTCTGGGTTTGTGCCGCATTTTGGATCTAAGCGATGTCTGACGTAATTTCTTTGTTCTAGAGTGGAGTATTAGAAAGCATTAAAAAAGAATGTACTCGTTTGTTTTCGGATAAATTGTGCTGCATGTAGGTCTCCTTACAGCATTATACACGTTATAATGCTGTTTAAGTAGTCAGTCCTCAGACAGAAAAGGAAAATGAAGCACGCTGGAAACAAAACACATATAAGAACTTGCCAGAATTATGCTACTATTGTATACTAAAACTAGTTATGCTGGTTTTTACTTGAATTTTGTATCCTTTTAACACTTGGATAGTGTGAATTTTCCAAATACGTTTATGTCAAACAACTTCAGTTCCCTATCAAAATTATGTCTATTACTAACAAAATATTGACAGTACCTAGCATTTAAGTGCAAATTGACGTGTCAAGCTTTCAAAATCATTAAAATGGGCTTAAAGATGGTTAAATCATTCCTAAATTTCTTTGGGTTTGTAAGTCTTTTTCCCTGGAGTAGGAGCAAAAATGGGGTCTTCTGGGATCTCAGAAGCAGGGAAAAGGATGTTCGCTGGATCCTAAGTTGTTACAGTATGCTTGCTTTACACTAACTCTTCTTTTAAACCACAAGGGCTAAAACACCTTTGCTAAAAGAGCTTAAATAAAAACAAAAGAAGATACAGGTATACTGCTTGAATATTGCAGAAGGGAGGCAGACACAGGCTCTCTACCTCTGCCCTGAGATAGCTGGTTGCAAACCTGTTACAGATTAGAAGCTGCTTTGAAGTGGCTCACGTTCTTGTAAGCACTCCACTGTGTTGAAAAGGGCACGTTTGCTCCGGTTTAGCATTGTTCTAATGCAGCTGTACAGCTTTTGAATGGAAGCTGGGCTGTATCTAGCCAGATCACATCTGTCTGCTGTTTTTCTGCAGACAGTATATACATGCTTGAATGCTCAGTTTGAACGGGACAGATGCTAGAACGCTGTACCGCGCCTCCTCTTCCGCATGCTTGTGTTATGATAGCTGTTCGCTCTCTCAGAGGCGATTAGCTCAAGCTTAGCTTTGGGAAGGAGAACCTAGGTATGTTTGTGTAGTAAAGGTAGCATTAGGAAACTGCAACAGCTATTTCAGCTTTAAAAAAAAAAAAAAAAGGCCTCTTATCTCAGGCTAAAAAAAAAAAAACCACACTCTATTACTGCAATGGCGCAGTGTTCTCCAACGATGCTGTTTCCTTGCTCTTTTCCCCCCCCCTACCTGAGCAGTAAGGGAGGCTGGCTAAACCAGCCTAGCAGTTGTGGGTAGCCTTTGCAGCCATGCTGTGTTACTGTGTTGTGCCTTTACAGTCTGGAAGATCCCCTGATGCCTGTTTGCAGTCTCGATGATTGAGATGTTCAAAAACATTTTACTGGAACAGGTGGCTCTTCTGTTCCACAAAACTGTAGCATAGTGTGCCTGCTGAATTAGTAACAGAAAATATTTCTGTAACTTCATACATATGGAGTTACTTTTTCATTTCTGGGCCAAGTCAATTCCTTTATTTATTACTTATTACTCAGTTGGTACATGAATGAATATGTTGGCTTGGTTTCCACATCCTGTTGAGCAGAGGAAAGTGGTGTGGGGAGGGGAAGAAATGTGGTTGTAAACCACAAGAAGTTGGTAGAGTCGGTACTTTATTCTGGATCTGCTTTTAACTGCCAAAGATAAACGTCATATTACAGGAAAACTTAAGTATTTTCTAAATCTGTTGCAATGCTGTTGGACATTTTGATGGTTGGAGGCTTTCTAATTCTGCCTGGCTTATTTGCAGTACATAACAGTCTTGTGTTATGGTTTTGGATGGAAGAATAGTACTGACAGATATAAACCAAGCATATCCTTCTCTCGTCCTTTTAGTAAAGCGCTTTTCTGGCTGAAATTGTTTTGCCGCAAGCCAATGACAGCTTTTGGAGGGGTGAGGTAGAAGTTGAAGTCAGTTAAAAGTGGCAGTCAAGCACTCATTTTAAAAAATGTTTATGAAGTTCTAGCTTCAGCACTGCAATAAGTTTTGGCAAGAATTCTTAGATGAAATAGTTTTTGGATCTTTTTTGGTCCTCATGAGATGTGGACTGCAGGCTTAAATTATGGTGTCCCCCCCCAACTAGTTAGAATTCAGTCTCTGAATTTTTCGTGAAAAATGTGAAATAAATAATGAAAGCGCTTTACTGTTACAAATTTGGCTCTGAAAACAGATGAATGGAGTGTTGAGCTGTAGCTCCATATTACAAACAGCAAACTAAATCAACATGAAAAAAGTGGAACAGGAAGCCAAATGTGCATTTCCTTATTTGCAGCACTTCTACTCCTCTCTTCTAACCCATATCCCATTTTTGTTACTATTTGTAATGTTATCTTAAATTATAAGAACTCTAGAGAAAGTTACTCTTCCAAAATTTACCTTCTGTAAATTATTTGACAAGTGAAATAGCCAGTGGCATTTTGCTGACTGCCGCCTTTTAGACTTCCCGTAGTTTCACAAAGGGAAAATCTTACAACAGCTTGCTTTATTGGTATGGTACGATTTTATGGTTTGGTGCCTTGGCACTTTTATGCAAGCCTTGAATCATCCTGACTTTTTTGGAGGAGTATAAAATGGGACTGTCTTATTAGCCTGGTATGAAACGAGGCTAACATAGTCCAGCTAAGTAACTTTCAACAGTTTAGAAAAGATTCTGTCCAGTAAGTTACCATTCCGTTGGCATCCATTTTGTAAAAGCTGCAGTTTATTCTAGGACCTAATACCTCTGGAAGGTCAGATGGAAAATGTTTGCTATTAATCATTCAATCAGAATTCTTGCAATGAAATGCACTCTGAGCACCTCTCAGGAAAAGGCGATGACTGTGGTGGTATGCCTGTTGTTTAAAAGGCAACCATTGTGAACTCGGCAGCTCAAATATTGTTCTTCTCTGTTATAGGTATAATTAGAGTAAACATACAATCAAAACTCTCTTCTTTTTCTTTGATAACAGCTACAAGCTAAATGTGCTGATCTGCAGGCAAAATGTACTGAAGCAAAGAAGACGTTAACTGAGGTAATCTTTATTTTTCCATGTAAAAATTAAAAATCTGTCTGCCTTGTTTTTGGGGGAACATGTTGTGCTTGTAAAAGAGTGAAAAAGAGAATTTTTGCATTGATCATGGATACTCCTCCTGGGAAGTGAAACACCTCTTTTTGTTTTCTCCATTCTTCAACAAGAAGAATAGTTAAAGAAATGTGGGTTGTCTTAGTTTGAAACTGGCATTATCTGTGAGTTCTCCATGCTATCATAACAACTGGTCGATATATTTGTGATGAGTAGTATTTCTAGACTGTGACATGGGGATAAATGCCACAGTCAATCTGAGAAATAGGTGAATATTAAGATCAAGCTTTACTTGCTTCCTAAAGCAGCTCTACAACATGAACTTGCAAAAAAAAACCTGAGAAGGTGCTTTGGAATGAACAATTCTGGGGAACTCTGAACAGCTCAAAGTATATAGGAAAAATCAGACTTACTGGAGTTACTGTTGTTAAAATTGATCTATATCACTTTATTTTATGTGCTTTGACGTTTAGTTCAATATTATTTAAACTAAACTGATTCTCACTGAATCATCATTGAGAGAATTCATTTGAGAAGTAGTGTGTGTGTAGGGGGGTATTAAGTTGTGGAGTTGTAGGAAAGCCTTTTCTGTTAAAAGTTCTGACTGCAGAGATGGGGATGTGGATTTCTTTTGTCATTGCTTAGTAGCTTTCCTAGCTCAAAAAAAGCAGAGATTTTTCAGGTAACTTTCAAAGGAAGACCTGTTAGTGATGTTCTTGGGAAGACTTTGGTTTCGTTCTGCTGCAGCGTCCTATATTCAGTATTATAAGATGGTTTTGCTGTTTTGCCTTTGCCATTCAACATGTCTTATATACCACTGCTGAATACTTTTAATATACTATACCGTTTTCAGAAGATTTTTATTTGCTCACGGCAGAATATGCTTTACTCGTGCTGTTATTAAAGGACTTCTCTTCCTAGACCATTTGACCTTTACGTTTTGCAAAGGAGTTGCATAGATGGGGAAGAAGGGAACTACTGTGAGAAAATGACTTACTTGAGGGCATCTAATTTGTAAATAAAACAAAGGAAAAAAAAATCCAGCAGGATACCAATATCAAGTTGGATTTAAAGTTAACATACTGTGTGATTGTAAAGCCCAGTACTCAGTTATACATGTGTTCTTATGTATGGATCAGGCGTATTGGTTTTTGTTTTTTAAACAAATAATACATGTCAGTTGTAGATTACCACAGGCGCTAATATATCTATGATTGCAACACAATGTAAAATACGAAAAGAGAACAACAATATTTTTAATGGCACCAGTAAATCTATTAGTAAAAATCTCTACCTGAAGTGAAATGTTAGTTTAATTGAACTATATAGAGTTTATTCCTGGTGTGAATTATTCTTATGTGTAAAAAACTGCTTTTGGGAGGGGTTTTGCTGTTATATTTTGGATCATTGTAGTGAAGTAACTCTTGCTCCCTGTGTATCTTTGTCATGATGTTTCTACCCAACTTAGGTCTGGAGCGTCAATGTGGTTGTTGTGGTGTGTGGGAAGTGGTTTTTTGTTTTGTTTTGGGTTTTTTGTCCTGCCCTCCCCCTTTTTCTCCAAATGGAAGTTAAGGGATTGCAATACAGGCAGTGGTCAGAAACAGGCAGTCACAGCTGATCCCTTTTACCTGTTGGATCCTACGACAGCTGTAGAACCCCCTTCTGGTTATAAAATCTCATTGTGATGAGATTTGCTCTATGTAAGTCTCTAAGTGTTGAATTTGAGTAAAAGGGTAAACTTTTTTAAATTTTGTGCTTTTTACTATATTAGTAGTGTTTTAGTTGCACTTAAAGGTTGTGGGAAGTTACTATTACTGCTTTTATTATCTTACGTTCTATTGGAGTGTGGGGCAAGATGAACGTATTGAAGTGAATGGGTGCGGTGCAGAGGTAACTGATTTTTGCGTTACAAAGCTAACGTGCATATTTCGGAGAATGATCTTCTAGTTAGCATCCGATTTCTTTCTTTGGTGAAGCTGCACAAAAGAGTGGTAGAATACAGGCCTTTAAAGAACAGAACTTTGAGCAATTCAGGTTGGCAGTTATGCTGAGAAGGAGGGGGACTTTCCCTGAGATCTTGAGCAGTCTAGGACTTAAGACTTGAGAGGTTTGGTAACTTGTGTCTGGTTTAAGGTAATAAACCCTTCCAAAGCCTCATTTGACCCAAAATCATTGTATTCAGTATGTTCTAAGCTGCAGAGTAAACACCTATGTTCCCACACAGATTTTAGCTGGGTTATATTTTCTTGTGTGATAATCATTCTCAGTCAGTCTCCTACCTTTTTTTGTTGAGAGTAATAATTTTACTTCCATTTGCTACTGGCAGTAAGTAAAACCATCTCGGGCTATCTCAGCTGCCTGGACCACGGAACAGAGAAGTGAAGCAATGCCCCTTTGTAGCCAGTGCTCTCTCCGCTCTGTTGTTTAGAGCCTTCTGCTTACAGCTTGTGTAAAGAGGAGAGTCTTATTCTGCTTTGTAGCTGCATGGTCTCAAAGACAATCTTGCTCTTCAGGGGCCAGATGGAGAAATGTACGAGACCAGTCTTAGGCTCTTATTAATTACTGAAAATAATTTCAGAAGTTGTTGACTTTTGAAGTTTTTGTGGTTAGGTGATGATATTTTGGAGTGGGAGAAAAGGAATCTATAAAGAGCAGTTCTGTTTTAATCCAGCTTGATAAGAGCTTTAGGCACAGCCACATTATACAGTTTGTCTGATCTCCTTGATAAAGTAGGATTTTTAGATGTGGGTAAACGTAACTCAAGAGGGTGATTCAGATGCATGCAGAGCTCATAAATATGGGAATTCTACTAATATTTCCTTTGGACTTTTTTTTTAAGGTCTTAATGATGGCAAAAGAGAGCCAAAGGTTGTGGGAGAGTTGCTAAAGCTTGTATTCATGGTGCAGCTTACCCCATGGATCCCACAGTATGGGAAAGCTGACTACCATGAATCCTTCTATGTGTGCAAGTGTATTTCAGTATATTATTAATTACAACCCTTAGGTTAAGAGTTGCAGTGAAAAGCTGGACAAGGAATTGGCGGCCTTAGAAACAATAGAATCTCAAGCAGATTCTAGGTAAGTTTGGTGTGCGTGTGTGTGTGGGGGGGGGGTGGTGTTTTTTTTTTCCCCTCTTTTTGTGGCCTTTTAAGCTCTAAAAAAAGTGTGATTTTTTAGAATGAATCACTCAATTTTGCTGCTTGGTCAGCCTAAACAAACAACTACAAATTAAAAATGTATACAAGAGGTTCCTCCTGCTCCTTTTCCAAAGACAGGGTACAGTTACCACGTTACTAAGTCCAAATGAATATTAAGTGTCAATCTGTATTTGAAAATAGTTGCTGATGCTTAAATATATAACACAAACAGAAGAACCCAAGACCCATTTGACAAGTAGGTGGGGCCTTCCTATCTCTATTTTTTCCCCCAATTTAAACCTTCATCTTGCATAAATTAAATAGAGGACCTGTGAAGACTTCTGCAATAATGAGGGAAGAACAGGGTAAGGGCATGGAAAGACTTGATGCAATACTGTATTGTTATTTCAACAGAGGAATGATGGTACATGGATTTTTATTTTACAGGAAAATTACTTGGAACTAATCTTGTTCTAATATCTTTTCATTCTCCATCTGTATAAATTAGAAACTAAAAGATTAATGCTGTTTTCTGGGTCTTCAAATTTAGCATATTACAGAACCTGCGAGCACTTGTGGCTATGAATGAAAATCTCAAAAGCCAGGAGCAAGAGTTCAAAGCGCACTGTAGGGTAAGCTTTACTTTATTATATAAGGATTGATATAAAACTTGATAAACAAGCGTGTGAGCATTATGTATGCTCTGCACAGCTCCTGCTTTATGTCCCATCCTGCCATTCCCCCCACCATTTACTGATATTTCCAGGTATCAGAAAATATTTTTCAATTATTTTCATTCTGTTCTGCTTAAACAATAGTAGAAAGGATTTAATTCAATGAAAAGTAGTATAAAGAAATACTGCCCCGAGGCAGAAGCTGAGCATAGAACACCTCATTTCCCATACATACCTCTTCTTGGAAAGCTGTAAAGGGTTGTAAAGGAAACTATCTTGCAACTGACCTTTGGTTCATTTGTTATTATGAATGACATGTCTTACAGTCCAGTGTTGTATTATTGATACTGTAATATTACTTTCCTTCCTCGGTCCAATTTTCCATATCATTCATTACTCCTTTTAGCTGGATCTAGATATTTGCAAATAAGAAATGAAGCCGTTTGCATTTGATAGAAGATGATGTTCCGTTTATGTAATGAGTAATAATGGCTACCTTAACCCTAAGCAGAGAATGACATTTAGTCTTACAAATTTACAAATATTAAAGCGTGTGGTCAACTCCAGAAATTGGTTATCGATATGCGGAATCAAGTTTCCTGCTATCTTTGCTTTAAAAGATAGATCTTAATTAAAAGCAACAAAACCTTTTTTTTCTTATTTTAAAGGAAGAAATGGAGCGACTTCAACAAAATATTGAGAATTTGAAAGCAGAGGCAGTGGAAAATGGGGAGGAAGAGGTAAATAGCAACTGTCTAAGAGTTTACTTTTATGTTTTTAAAATCCTATTTTAGGTCCTTCTAACTTTTGGTGCATTCTAATAAGCGTTAAAATCCACTGTCTTTGTCGTATCAGAGAAGAATCACTGCATGTTAAGAGCAGCGTGTACCTCTGACAAAAACAGTTCCTCCTCAAAAATGTATTTGCTTTGATAGTTCTTTTTTTTTAAGTGATTTCGTCTGATAGATGGAAGCACAAGTTTTCAGTGGCGCACTACACTGCATGCAGTAAGCAGCTGTCAAAACTTCTATTTTTTACACAAGTGCATCCAGTCTGATGGGAATGAATGAAGAGTACAGAAAAGGAAAAGGAAAAGGCTTGTATTTTAGATGAATAAACATTTCCCAAAATGCTGTTGTCCTCCTGAACCCAGCATGAGAAAATTAAAATGTAAGCTTAGAGCTTTAATTTTTAATAGAAGAAAACATGATCATAAAATCCCCGAGGAAGCGAGTCTAGAATGCATGTCAGAGGGTTTGATTGTTTTTCATTAACCCTTGCACTAAATCAAAGTATGAACATCCAGAAAATGAGCACAGAAAAGAATCTTTCCATACGTATCTGTTATTCACTCTTCATTTTCAGAAGAGTGACTATTTCTAAGCAGCGGAAAACCTATTGACGAATCTTAAACTAAATGTTAAAGGCTTAAAAACTAGCAAAACACAGTTGGTTACTGTGAAGGATGTTACAGATTTCTTTCATGCAAATCATGATCTATTTAAAAAAAAAAACAACAAAAAACAACACATGAGCAAATGGTGGTGTTATATAGTAGGTTTCATTGAATGAAAGATGAACAAAGAACCCCAAAACAAATCCAAACTGCGTGCTTCTCCAATTGCAGATCTGATTTGCTACTGTAATCCAAAATTATCTTTTGGGTTCTCAAATTCTAGGAGCCTAATAAGATTATAGACCAGCAGTACCAAACCGAGAAAGATAAGCTTCAAAAGATCCGGCTATTACTGGTAAGTAACTCCTTGTAAATTTACTAGGATAAAATTATTGATGTTTTTCTCATCTTCTCACTTCTAATACTTCTTGTTGTTGTTGTAATTTTTAAAAGTTTTTATGTCACAGACCAAGTGTAAATAAAAATGAGCCTCAGCCAATACTCTTTTTTTAAGTTAAGTATTTAGTAACAAAATCTTGCTGGGCGGGTTTCATCCTTTTTAAGAAGAGAACTAGCAGAGGCGTTGTTTTCTGTCCTCCTTCCTTTCTGTTCAGGCCCGAAGAAACCGAGAAATAGCCATTTTACAACGCAAGATTGATGAAGTACCCAGCCGAGCTGAGCTAACGCAGTATCAGAAAAGATTTATTGAACTTTACAGTCAGGGTATGTATATCAAACAAACATTCTACAGAAGGCTAAAGTCCTGTAAGGAGGGCAGTTGCGTTATAAGCAGATGGTGTGCAGCATCAGCACTTGCTAGTTTTGTGGTATTTTAATGTTCATTTGACACTCGCATAATACACCCTCTTTTCAGGGTTTTAAAAACTGGCTATAATATTATCTTTGAGGATGAAACTTAATGCACAAGCTGTCTAGAGTAAATTTTGTCTGCAGAAGACTCAGTCATTTGGATCAGTGACCAGTGTGTTTGAACGGTAGTCCTTAATCTGCCACTTACAAATGAGGTAGCCGTTCATGAGTCACGTTTACTCTGCTCTTAACATTGGATTGTTTTCTTTGGCATGAGATACCTTGTTCTATATACAAACTATGTGAAGAACTACAAAGAGTTTCTTGAAGGGATTGTTTTCCATCATTGTTGCTCTGTAAATGTTCCCCCTGCCTTCAAAAGAGCAAGGAGAAGCCAGGGATCTACAGGTCAATCAGCCTTCCCTCAGTTCCTGGGAAGATGGTGGAGTAAAGTCTCTTGGAAACCATTTCCAAACAAATGAAGGGCAAGAAGGTGATTGGTCAGGCATGATTTCCCCTTCTCAAATCCATACCGACTCTCCCAATCTTCTGCAGTGCCCTCTAAAATGAAATGCATGGCATGGTAGATGAGAGGAGAGCAGTGGATGTTGTTTATCTCAACTTTAGCTATGCTTTTGACACTATCTCCCACAGGATCATCACTGAGAAACTCATTAAGTGCAGGCTAGATAAGAGGGCAGGTGAGGTGGACTGAAAACAAGCTGAACTACTGAACTCGGCGGTTGTGATCAGCTGCATGGAGCCTAGAGGCCAGTTACTAGCTGTGTATCCCAGGGGCTGGTACTGGGGCCGAATACTGTTTAACATCTTCGTTAATGGTTTGGATGATAGGACAGAGCGCACCCTCGGCAAGTTTGCGGTTGATACAGAACTTGGCGTGGTTGATATACCAGGTGGTTGTGCTGCTATTCAGAGGGACCTCACTGGGCTGGAGAAATGGGCAAGCAGGAATCTCACAAAGTTCAACAACAGGAAGTGAAAAGTCCTGCACCTGGGAAAGAATAACTCCATGTACCAGTACAGGCTGGAGGCTGACAGGCTGGAAAGCAGCTTTGCAGAAAAGAACTTGGAGGGGGTCCCGGTGAACAACAAGTTGACCACAAATCAGCTTTGTAGCCTTGCGTTAGAGCCCTGTGTCCAGTTCTGGGCTCCCTGGTTCAAGAGAGAGACATACTGGAGCAAATCCAGCGAAGGGGCCACAAAGATAATTAAGGGCTTGGAGTATCTATCATAAGAGGAGAGGCTGAGAGAGCTGGGACTGTTCAGCCTGGTGAAGAGAAGGCTCAGAGTGATCTTAACAGTGTGCTGATGCGCACCAGTGTACCTGTTGTGGGGATGGGGGAGTGTAAAGAAAATGGAGCCAGCTCAGTGGTTCCAAGTGACAGGAGAAGAGGCAATGAGCAGAAGTTGAAATACAGGAAATTCCATATAAACGTAAGAATAAACTTTTTTACTCTGATGGTGATCAGACACAGGAACAGATTGCCCGGGCAGGCTGTGGAGCCTCCATTCTTGGAGATTTTCAAAACCTGACTGGGCACAGTCCTGGGCAATCTGCTCTAGTGTTCTGCGTGGAGGGATTGGACTAGACGATCTGCAGAGGTGCCATTTAACCTCCAAGATCCGGTGAAAACAAATCCATTCAAAAAACAATTTAGGAAGCTATTCGAAAATACACTACAAATGGATGTTAGCCCTTCCCTATCTCTCTCTCTGTTTGACTAAAAGCAAGCAGCAGGTTGGCTCTTTTTTTTCCCCTTCTTCCTCCCTCTTACCTTACATGGGCTCTGGTGTGTTTTGGAGCCTCTGTGAGGTGATGCAACTTGCTAAACCAGTGGAAAACATTGATAGTTTTCTTCTGAGTTACTAAATGCAGTCAACTCGTAGCAGATACATGACTAGCAGAGCTCTTCTGTTTGGCAGCAATTGAGTCCTACAAAAAAAAGGAGCTAATCAAGAAAGTACACCTTCTGGAGAAAGCCCTTCTGGAGATTGTTTTCTGCGCTTAGATTCTTGCAGTTTGTCCAGAAGGAACTCAATTTCAGCACTTGGAAAATCTTCTTCATGGAATATGCTGGGCAGCGCTTATACCTTTCTTGAGCTCTCTGTGCTTTCACGTTCCTTGTATGTAGTGTGCTTCTCTAGGTTACATCATATCCAGAGCATGTTACAGTCGTATTGTGGTGACAAGAATGCACTCTGGTCCGTTAGATCTCACTACTGCAGAAGTAGGGCACTACTGGTGCCTTTCTGGACTTCCATCATTAAAATGCTCCCCTTTGGGCTATAGCTTGCTGTTTTGATTTCTGTTTGAGAACAGAAATCAAACAAGTCATCTCTATCAGTTTTGTAAAGATTTTATAGCAGCTTGTTAGTCTTCAGACTATAAGGTAGTGAAGATGATTTCAGTCTGGCTTATCTGGCTTGCTCATGACCTCTGGAGTAATTATCATCATTACCTCATTTGATCTTTTTGACCCATACTCTTTTCTGGGTTCAGGATTCTAGATAGTGCTTGATAAATTAACCATAATTTTGCCAGCTGTCCTTCTCTGTTGAACTTCTGCCTTGAGGATCCTAGCTAATTGTCTTTAGTTTTCCTTAAACTGTGAAGAAGTGCAGAGGAACGCTTAGCAGCCTTGTAATATCAGTCGTCATTGCCTTATAGGCCCAAAGGGGATAAATGGCTGAGCCTACCTTCCCCACCAACTGTGACCGCTGTGAATGCTATAGTCACCTAAAACAGCCTTTTGAAAAGAGAAGGTATTATTTAGCTATATCAGCATGAACAAACTGTAAAAACAAAAAAGAGGCTTTAACACAGTCAAAGCTTTCTTGGGTACCTAGCGCATCTGTAGTTTGAAGGGTATAGTATAAAATGTGCAGATGTCACCCTGTAGAGTTGGATTATCTAGTTCCTATCTGTCTCTGCTTAATTTCTTCTCCCTCTACGCAGATGAAAACACCCAAATTATGCGAGGGTAACTGTTAGCAGCACAGCAGCCTGTGTTGTGTAAGGGAAAAGCTTATGGGAGAAGAATGAACAGACAGTGTTAGGGAAGCACAGCTGATAGTGCCAACTTACGTTGACATAAAGTGTGGTTGACAGTTGAGGTTTAATTTAGACGCTGAACTGTGCTATTTTGAAGTCCAGTGCTCATGTAATCTGCTAGTTGCAAACCCTGCTGGAGATTTACATGCAGATGTAGGGTTCTTTCGGAATGTGTTAGAGTGTCTTCCATTATTAATAGTACGAAGTTATAAAAAACAATAAAGCCTACAAAGTATCTTTATAGGTTCCATTTCACGTGATGCTCTTTTATTATTCTACCCTTCTTTTGTTTGCAGTGTCAGCAACTCACAAAGAAACCAAACAGTTCTTTACTCTTTATAACACACTGGATGATAAGAAAGTATATTTGGAGAAGGAGGTAAGAAAATATTATTGTTTTCTAAGTGTTTAGTCTCTGGAAAAGACGATGCAAAGTTCTTGCATAGCTTTCACACTCAGCTTTGCTAGAGAAGGGTTAATACTCTTTACAAGTAAAAATGAAACAACTGTCTTCATAAGAATACTTCAACAATATTTACAGGAAAATGGTCTATGTTACTAAAAAGTGCTATCGTTAGTATGGCACGTTCAAAACCCTGCGTTTTGTAAAACACAAATGACATTTGATTAGCAAATATCTCTGTCTTGGTGTCATAGGAGTAAGTTAGCGTCCTTTGTCGTCTTGGTTACTATTTTTTATTATGAACCAATGCTATAATTATTGACTTTGGAAACTAAATTCCAGCTGCTTTCAGCAACATCCTAGTTAGTTCGCAGGATCTCATCCTGCCTACACTGAAGTCACTGGTGATTTTAATGGATCAGGATCAAAGTGTTTTCCTGAAAGCAAGTTATTCCCTTCTCTCTGTCCGCACTATGCAGAGTTGGGCTCAGATGATTTCAGTTTTCTTCTTTGCAATGATCGACGTGTGACTCCAGTAAAGATGGAGAAATAGGAACAGTCAAAGCTTGATTAAAAAATGACAGCATAACTTTAAACTGTAAAAGGTTTTGATACTACAGGCTTCTCTGATTCTAATAAAATAAGATCAGAAGATAGTTTAACTAGTTTTGCCTTATTTAATGTATTTGATTGCTTAGTGTGTGAGACAAGCCATAGTCAATTTTATGACTATGTAAAGGCATTTTACTTCCTGGATTAGGACTGAAGATGATGAGCATCAGTTTCCTTCCCTTGAGCATTTGATTCTGCTACATGTGCTAAATAGTTCTCAGTTTTTCGGTTTGAAGAATCAGTAATTTATGTACCTTTATAGAAGGCACGTGATCCTGGCAGTTGCTTGCCATGGAACTTGGCTAATGGAATAGATTTAAGAACAGAAGTGTTCTTCAGGGACACTATGCTGCAGGTACTGTACCTGTGGTAGAACTCTGAGAAGATGTAGCTGGGGGGAGAAGGGGAGCTCTTGGCAAACAGCAGTCCTTCAGGCTAGAACATAACACGTTAGGCACGTACGAGAAAACTGTGGGAAAAATCCTGCTTCATCCTTTCCTGATTCTCTTATTTAATTCTACAGTAACTTAGTACAGTTTTCTTGCTTTGGTTTTGATAACCTTAAAAAGCGCTCCATGTGAATCTGCCAAAGTTTGCTGGAAAGCTCACAGGTGCTCTCATGCTGTGCAGAACTTATCAGAGATAGGGTGTCTTGTTTTTCTTTCAGTCGTACAAGACTAGGCTTTCTCACAGACTTTCTGGAGGCCAGGATGGTGAAAAAATATAACAGAACACTGTTTTCACGCTGCCATTCTAAACGTTCCCCTAGTTTACCTTAATAAAAGTATTTTAAGACATGACAGCAGTGTTAGGGTAGATATGGCCTTTTCTGTTACAGAAAAGTATTTTAGTGCAATATAAACATTGTCAGAATCCAGACTGCATTACAATGAACTTTAAAATAACTGCTGTGACTGGATGGCAGTTTGAATATTTTACAGCTATTTTACAATTCACAGGTGCATATTTTGCAAATATTACTTACATGTTTTGTAGCAAAACATGTAACTAATACTTGTAAAAAATGTAAGTTCTGTGCTGAATTGTACAACACGTTTTTTATAGAAATGTATATTCTGAGTTAGGTCAGTGGTAAGTACCAGGCAGCATCTTACAGCAGGTTGTAATTTTACCTATTTTGATTGTTACATGCTCTAGAAATACACAATTTGTGAAAGAGGTTTCATTTTAGCATAAGATAATGCTATTTCTTAAAACTCTTCTGCATCATGGTCCCTAAGTACCGCAAATAAATTACCTTGGAATTATTAACTTACCTTTTTGTCTGCTGGAAGTATATGGCTTTCCTGCGTTGCTTTTAATGTTAGAAATAAGGTTTCAGCAAGTAAATACTGTCTAATAATATGTGCAAAAGATTTCTATGCTTTTTTGGCACCTTTGTTTCATAAGGGGTTTTGAAAGATGCCTTTTTAAATACAAGAAACTCTCTCTGAAAAAAAACCAACCCTTTTTTATAATAGGCTGAGCGTAATTGCTTTAAAATAACAAGTTACGGTTATCATACAACGGAGTTGTGGCCGCTAAAGGTTAGCGTTGCGTCATGAAAGATCTCTGCTTATATCATTGATAGTTTTGATCCTATTTTATATGAGATTCACTTTTAAAATGCTGCAGATACTGTGAATTCAATTTTTTCATAATTTTTGCTATTTGGGTTTGGGCTCCGGTTTTTCTATTTTGAAATGTAACATAGCAACAGTCATACTTCGCCATAGTTGCAAAGTGCTACTTTTCATTATGTGAATGTTTTGCAGTATAAACTGTGTAATCGCATTCTTAAACGCGTGCTTTTTGGAAGTAGAGGCAGAGGCACAGGTATGGTCTTGGCAAATATTCGTAAGTCATGCAGTCACTGCCCTTAATTGAGATACTTTCTTTCCTCTAAATAACAGGAGTTCTTAAACATCTTAACCTCTTTTGGATTACGTTTGAATTTTTACGAGGTCAGGAATGACTGTGCAGATTGAGCCATGCATGTGCCTATCACTGTTATTCATATGGAAGCTTTTTAGATCTGTGGGAGACGAATTTAGCTTCCCATAGTAGTGGGACAAGTGGTTCTGTTTGCAGTGCTCAGATTTGGGCAGTGCAGAACACTTTCAGTTATTCATCAAAAGGAGAAACTGCAAGGAAGGCTTGACCACGCGAGCCTTGTATGAGTATCAAAAGCCAAGATGAAGACTCACGTCAATTGCTGCTTGGTGAATTTAACTGTTCTCAGCAATATTTAGAAAGCAAGAAAAAAAAAACAGTGGAGGCTACACAGAGAATTTTCAATATGCAGTTCAGTTAATGGGGGAGTTATATACAAAGAGCAACAAAATTTCCCTGTTTTATTGTTGTAAACTCTTATTTATATCTTGATTCAGTGCAGTGTTCATTTCACATAACTGGAGCCATAGTCTTACTGTGTTGCATGTGAAGAGTCATGCTATACTTCAGCTGTTTATCTTTTAACAGCCTGCAAAATAAGTATAAGCAAAGCAAGTACTGATGCACAGGTTGTTCAGAAACTCCCGCAAAACTCGTCTAACCAAGTTTATGCCACACAGCGAATACAATGTGGAAATGCAGCTGCTATTCCTTCACTGCTTTGCTGAGTCTGCACCAATACTAGGCTTGTCTCAGAAGCAGTAGTTTTTTGCTGATACAATATTCTGCTCAGGCTGAGCTGAAGTGCAGCTTCCTGACAGAGCTGCACTGCTCAGTTTCAGAGCTAGCATCTTCGGTATTGGTGCTGGTAGCTGATCTGCTGCACCAGTAGCACTTGACGTTGGTACCGATGGAAATTATGTCTAAATGCAGGTCTTGCATATATTTGTGTGGTTTATTTATTATTATTTTTTTAAGATATATTTTCATGTTTGTTCTCTTCAGCTTGTAAGCATACACAGGGCTACGCATGTGTGAAACCCAGTTTCTTCTACTTGGTAATTACAACTAAGACCAGTTAGCAAACCTAACGCAGTCTCTACGTGTATTTGTGTACCACGCGTGCTGAACACTGGGCTATTACCTGTCACTTGTATGTCAAGTTTCAACACTGTGTAGGCCCTCTTACTTCATTAGTTTAGTCTGGAAAGTCATCCCAAAGGAAAATTCTCAGTGGTGCAATTGAGCATCAATACAATTAAGAGTCTCGCTTGTTGTGTCAGACTTTGTTCATTTTATTGTGGCCCCTCCACTGGGATAGATTTCGGTAATACACGGGGGTTGTGGTTTCTCTTCCTAAAAGAAGCTTATGGTGATTTTTATAGAACTGCTTGTCAGGACAGTATTTATATAGTCAATTATTGGATCTGAATTTCATCTCATTGTTCATGAAAATTCATTCTGACAACGTATGTTTTCTGTTTTTTTTCCTTTAATTCATAGGTTAACTTGCTGAATTCTATTCATGACAACTTTCATCAGTAAGTAATGGTCATTTTTGACTTGTTAGTTGCAATGAGTAGTAGGGCTGGTTGATGAAATAGGAGAGGGTATGAATCTACATGTTAGAATATAATTTTCATTTAAACTGTATTATGAAATACAGTGAATTCTGTTCAAAGTAGTGGCTGGGGAGTCATAGACTTGATACTACCTAACGTGTGTAGTCAACATATGTTTTTAATATCTGGCTCTTCAGTTGCATTTGTAGGGGGAAAAAAAAAAAAATCATTCGGTCATAATTTTCCTGGCATTAATTGAAATATTTTTCTTCATTTCTGTGAAGTTGTGGTTACTACATTATGTACAGAACATTAGACTTCAGACATATTTCAGACGTGTATTATAGAGTAATTCTATTTAAAAGTTTTGATGAAGTGTGAAGTCTTTAGGTAAAATTATGGTCCCACTGGAAGTCCAAGGTCAAATATCAGTCTGTGATGCAGCCAAAACTTATTTCATTCTACTTTTTTTGCTTCTGGAGAAAAAGTCTGATGTGAATGGCTATTTTAGTAGTTCTAAACAGTTCTTCCTATTGTATCTTTTTAAAATTCTATTGTGAAGTTATATGATTTCCCCCCTGCCCCCCGAGAAAGTAATTCATAATCTCTTTACTTGTTTCCATATATTTTTGTCTTGGGTCAGAAACTTTGCGTTATTTTTAATTTTTTCCCCCTATTTTGATATCCAAAACCATTAACTAGTACAAAAAACAAGAATTATTTCAGCTATTTTCCTTTGCAGCAGAGGTTGTAGATCTGTTTTGCTCAGTGATGAAATCCTTTTGATTCTGTCCAGTCGGTAGAGAGTTGCGCTGTTCTTTCTTTCTTTCTGCTTTAATCTGTTAAAGGTATGTTTCGAGCCCAAAATCACTTCTGGGCTTTTCCTAATAGGGTACAAGGATGTGTTTAGAATATTTACTGACCTCCTGGTCCTTCAGTCACCTTCCTTGTTTTCACATCAGCTGCTCTTAAACTTTATTTGCAACGTTGCTTTTGGTTAGGTGATAGCAGTTTATTTCTGTTGTCATGAGAAAGTAGTAGACTTACACTGCCAGGGAGAGCACTTGTGATGGGCGCTCTGATAATTTATACCGGCTGAAGATCTGTGCTGTTACCTGAAATCAGTAGTTAAAAAGATTAATTTTTTACTCAGAATACTAAGCAATATGTATACTTGGACTTAGGTATATATGCAGGACAAAAAAGAATTGTAAATGAAACATTGTCCCACGCGTTCCTATCAGTTGTTATCTTTTTTTCTTTTCAGAGCAATGGCATCTTCTGGTTCTCGTGAGCAATTTTTACGGCAGATGGAGCAGATTGTAGAAGGCATTAAACAGAATCGGATGAAGGTCTGAGACTCTTCTCCCTTTCTTTGCTAAAAGCTGGAAATTATTTCAGAAAACCTTTTAGATAATAACTAGTCTTATTTCTTTCTTCGCTTCCACAAGGAAGTGTTCACCACTAAAACGTTAATGAATAGAATAGAGCAGAGGTGTTGTAACACTTCTCTCCTGGCAAGCAGCTTGTAGCACTTGAGTTTGTTGGTGGCATTGTAGTGATTTTGATGCTTGAAACAGCTGTACGTCAAGGCTGTTGATGTAATGAGGGTCTCGAGGTGAAACAGATTATGAAAATACTTGAACAGTGCAATTATCTAGTGGTTGATTTATCAATGCCAGTGAGGAACCTGACAGTAAATGGTTGCTTCTGCAGCAGAAGCTTTCTTGTTTTTATTTATTTATTTGTTTTACTTATTCCTCACCTAGCAAAAGTCTCTTGAATTACTTTGTTTTGAAGAGATGGACTAGTTATCTACAACAAGCGTTATCTACCACCTTGATGATTTAGTCTGATCCATTCCGTTTCCATCTGCGGTGGGTTAGAAGCGCTCACAGTCAGTTACTGTGATCCTCTCTTAAAGTAAGGCCATTTTAATTGTTTTCTGTGCAGACCTGAAGACCTTACACCTGAGGATAAATTCCGATTTTCAAAGCTCATCATACTGTAACTGCATTGTAGAAGAGGCCTACAGGGAAATTAGGTATACTTGTTACTGAGAACGAGTAATGTGCAAACAAGAATTTCTGTGTGATAACAGATATTCATGAGACTTTCTGAGGAGAGACAGGTTAGTCTTCATTGTGAGGAATATGTCAAGAGAGATTTGTCATGGTCAGGCACAAAAAAAAATTTACCAAAGGATAGTAATAGGGTCTTATCGCTTGACAAGAACCTGGATCCTTGATGTTTTAGCAATATAGTTCTCAGCCTCATCCTAAAGGAGTGGATGCATATGGTGGTGCTTTTTCTGTCTCTTGTCTTGTTCTGGTTTTGGAGAGGCATTTGAAACAGGAGAGGAATGCCACAGGCTTATTCATGTGGCAGTTCCTTAAAACCGGAGAAGAGCAGGCAAAATTTACTTTCCAGACTAGCAGCAACCTTGTCTGTGATGCTTATGATGGAAGGACTTCATTAGGACTACTCCTGAGAGGAAGGCAGTCTGTTCTGTAATAAGTATTGGTCCCCTTCACTCTTAGGGATTTACAGTATGCTTGGTCCAACTTTGGCATGTTCCACTCTGAATGAGGTTGAGAGAAGAAAAGAGGGGAGAAAAGGGATTTCTTAAGTGTAAGTCTTGATCAAATACAGCATTGTATAGTAAAGTAAAGATGCCTCCCCCGTGACTGATATAGCAGACTTAAACACCAAATGAAGATCTAGGTGTTTTGTCAAAACCTCAATTTCTTTTTTTGTTAATTAACTTCACTGAGTCATTTTTGATGGAGCACTGTTTAGTAGACGAGATCCTGGGCTTGCAGAGGTATACACCGTAGTTCAAATAGGAATGTTACCTGTAGTGCACTGGCACTGAGACTTTAGCTTTAGGGTATTTTTGTTTGTTAAGAGTTGGCCTAAAAGTTCATTGCATTAAAAGCACCAGCCAGTAGTGTCACTTACATATCACTTATGATTGACGTGTCTCCCATTGTCTATTGTAGACATTTGTGTGTGTGTGCATGTGTGTGTGTATATATATATACCTACGCACACAGTTTTTGATCTTCTGTTCTTCTTATATACCAACAGATGGAAAAAAAGAAGCAAGAAAACAAAATGCGAAGAGACCAATTGAATGATGAATACTTGGAGCTTCTAGAGAAACAAAGGCTTTATTTTAAAACAGTGAAAGAATTTAAGGAGGTAAGAGCATTTTTGCTGATGTAGATAGGTGAATATTTGAACTGGTAAATAGTTGCTTAAGAAGTTGTTCTGCCCAGAGAAACTACTTGCTTTGAAGTGGATCATAAACTTTGCTTTTAGTAAGGAGAAATTTCCTAGATGGGTAGATCTACCCTGAACTTTTTCTCTCTGAATTTTTCTCTGAAGTCTCCTCAAAGTTAAATCACAAAGAGAAGCCGCTTGTCTGAGGAAACGTGCAATCCCATCTTGAGAATGAGCTTTCTATTGTGCATTTTTCAGATTGCTGGAATGGCTGAAGTGTTTTCTCAGTACAAGAACTGTGTGGGGGTGTGTGTGTGGTTGTTTTTTTTTTTTTAAGGCTCATAATGTAGCTCATTAAAATCTCATTGAGCAGCAACTCGATAGAGGGAACTAAATGAGTTTACAATAACAAATAATATAATTAGGTATTGTAGGACAGTCAGCAGCAGAGTTGCCTATACTTTAAAGGCAATCTCAGCAACTAACTAGTAGTAAGGTTGAGGGTGGGGGGGGGAAGGTTGGAAGAAGAGCTGACTATTTCTGCTCCTGTTGAAGTCCATGATGGCAGAAGCAGGTCACTGAATCATTTTTCAGAGTAAATTTTAACGACTGCTTTACTTTTCAGCACAATATTAGTGGCTTGAATAAGAGTTGTTTTAGATGTATTAACGCTATGAGAGCTACTGAGAACTGTTTTACTCTCTTTGCGCGTCATGGGTATCCTTGGGATGAGGTGTTAGGCCTTTGAGGTGTGTTGCACTACAATAATGGGAAGAATGGCAAGTTTCTGGAATTCAGTTCGTGACTCCTGTCATCTCCTAGGCAGTGGAAGTAATGCAAAAAAAAGTAGGTTAAGTCCTCTTGGAAGAAACATGAAGGGTTCTTCCTTGACACTTGTTGCTTAAAAATTCCACAAAATCGGAGTATGAAAGCTGGTCTACAAGTGAAAAGGCCTATTGGTGGATAATAGGAGTGAACGTGTATGTGTGTGTTGGGGGTTTTTTGTGATTAGTAAATTCAGAAAATGGAAGATGAAGTGATTCAACAATTTAAGATTTCTAGAAGCATGTAAGCTCTGATATTCAGTGACTTGCAGTTCTGGCTTGACTTAAGCATTAACTTATGCATCAGTGCTATTTATACAATGCTTATATTGTCATGTTCACAGTGTCTCTTGGTGGGTGTTTCCACATGATTTTTGGACTCTGAAAACTCTTTTGTCACAGACAGATTTGCATCCCTCCGTGTTTCTTGGGCAGTATTAACTGGTTATTGAGCAAGGTTTGTATTTAGCTTTCTTAGTGGAATCTCTTGGAGACCTATGAGCAGCTAGGTATTGGAGCAGAGAGGGTGATGGAAATGCGTGGGAGATTGTTCATCAGAATGAGTCTTGCTAGTCGTGCATAATAATACTTCCTGAAGGGATTTATTTCAAGACTTGATTAGGTGTCCTGTGCACGCATGCCTGTTGTGATAGAAGAATCGGTACTGTGGATGAGAGCTGGTGATTACCGAGTTTGCCCTGGGTATTCGTTTCCTAGAAGCCTAATAAAATAAGTGGCCAGCCTTCTTGTCTAACCACTGTGAAAGTACTCTTTAATACTTCATTGATTTAGTGTCTGCTTGGTTTCTGTTTATCATTGTAATGTGCTTCTGTTATTGTCTCCTTGATAACGAATGACAAAGTAGTGCTGCCAACAAAATTGTCTTCTGGCTTCCGATGTTTGGAGAAAAACATCTTCCTCTAATTTGTCCTGGTTTGTTCTGAGACAGTTCCCTCCTGTTTTGGATCGTAGACTCTGGGAGAGTGACAGGGACTGCTTAGCTACTTTTATGACCGGCAGAATTGTGTGTCCTGTTTGCAGCACTCCAGATGTGGAGTTTTTCGGTTTTGGAATTTTTTTTTGTTAAACGTAGAGAAGCCATTTGTCTCCTGCTGTGCTTGTGAGGGCATTTCTGCTCTATCCTGTCTTTTACCTTAAAAATAAATATATATATTTTAAAATGGCAATAGTTTGAGAACAGATTGTGTGTGTATATATGTATATACATTTCTTGACTTAAAATTGTTCCATGAACACTGACTTTTTTGCGAACTGTTTTGTGATGTTCCAGATTACTTAACAGTAATCTCTATTTCAGGTTTTTTCAATTTATAAGTAAAAAGGGGGATTTGCTTTAGCTGCTTACAACAATTTTAGACTAATGATCAAGCAGCATTGTACATCATAAAGTTTAATGAATATGCCATTGAAACAATGTTATGGATGAATCAAAAATATCTGCAGCTCATCACTCACTCAAGACTCCTTTGGATCTTGGACATCTTTTCAGGTTTCAGTTTGATGATCTGAAGATATATATCACAACTAATAGAGTTAAGAGTGACTACCTGATCTGTTTGCTTTTTGTTAACAGGAATGC